GCAACCCTAGCTAGAATCCTACTTCTGGACAAAATTTCCCTTAAACAATATACGCAGTTTAGTATTTATACTCTAGGTTTTTCTGTGTGTTTTGTTCTATCCACTGATAACTACTAGCTCATGAAGACAGATGTCGTGTGTCAGACAACGTCGTCTGCATCTCCCATGGTCCCTGGCACAGTGCTTAGCCTGTAGTAGTTCAGGTGCTCAATAAATACTTTTTCTGTGAGCTGGGGGGTTTGGAGACTTGTTGCTGAGTCCTGCCCTTGGGTCAGTATCATATGGAAGTATTTAGGTGATAGAACCTTTCCATTTCCCACTGCCAGGATTTTATATTGCCTTCAGGTGCCAAATAAATGCTCATATTTATTGCTGATGTGTGCCTGACATCTCTTTTTCCACACACAATCTTGCGAAGCTCACATATTCTCACTTGCTTGGCCCCTTACAGCATTCCTCACCACCTCCCAAGGTGTACCCAGAGCTGAACACCCTTCCCTTGCTGCCATAATCTTTGTTACATATAAAGGTGGGGGCCCATCTCAGCTGTCATGGCCACAGGCAACTACCCAAAATAGAGCTAGCATACTGGGATTTCTCAAATCAGAGGAGATCTAAGAGTCATTAGCAAGCAGTGTTGGTTCTGGATTATGTAAATGAGGGGATGGAGGCTGGAGAAAGAGATTGGGCTGGAATTGGAGGATGGTGAGGATTATAGAATCTACATGGTCCCAAGTTGGTTTTAAGGTTTTCTAGAGTGGCCATGGACTGTAAGAGAACTCGGAGCAGCGTGAAAGAGGTCTAAGCAGTGGGCTCTGTAGGTTGAGAAATTCTTGGGGTGCAGTATATCCAAAGTGTGTGCCTGGAAAGGCAAGTGTGCAAGCGCACGTGGACCAAGGAGGCTTAACAAGAGATGGGAAATTCTGTAGGAACAACTTGGCAGGAAGCATCCGTGGGACCTGGGGGAAAGTGGTTGGGAGATACGGAGGAGGAGGAAGATCAAAAAGATTAAGTTGAGCTGAAGCATATCAGCAAGTGGAGGGAGGAGAATTGGCTGAAGAACACAGGGAAGGCATGAAAAGCCTGCTGATGCTGCTTGGCTACGCCGCAGGAGAAAGCAGGGACCGTCCTCAGGGGAGGAAGAGATGCAAAGTCTCGGAAGAGGTTAAGATATTACTGGAGCCATGGGAGTAAGCAAAGTGCCCATTTCCAGCATAGGCAAGCTTTCTGGAGGTGTGGTATGTTTGAGAATTACAGAGCGAGGCACTGGTTTCTGACCCGGATTGTGTGACCTTCCCACCCCGCCCTTGAATGAGAGTATCAGGTTGAATTTCATAGCTCTCTTCCCTTCCCCCCCGCTACCTCTGCCAGGGATTCTCTGCTAAAATTATCCCCCTCCCTGAGCTGGGGGCTGCCCTTCTCTGCTGCCCTCCTACCTCCTGCTTCCTGTAAGAGGGAAGAGGAAACATGGGCCAAGAGAGCAGAGCCGTGATTTGAGGGGCAGGCAGGGCAGGCGTCTGGTCTGGTCGGAGGAGGAACGCAGTAATGATGGCCACAGCCCAGGGAGCACTTGCACCTTCCCAGTCAGCCCTCCCTGTGCGCCCACGAGCTAGTCATTTTCCTCGTTTTGTTTTTTTTTTTTTCCAGAAGGGGGAAAAGAGGCTCAAAGACTTCAAATACACAAAAAGGGAAGAAATGTAGCTTTAAGGCCATGAACTCTAGAATTAAATACATTTTGAATGCTGGCTAAGCCTCTTGAGATACTGGAGACCTTGGCTAACGTACCTAACCTCATGGAACCTCAGTTTCCCTTAGCTAAGAAGGAGGAAAGTTGTTTCTCCCTTAAAGGGTCCCCATGAGGATTAAATATGCGTGGTAAACAGATGACGCAGTGTTAGCAGGTGTTAGCAGCTTACAAAAGCTTGAGAATCGTTAACTTGGGCACGATGAGCTTCAGTTCGGTACCAAGCATTCATACTCCGTGCTTAACACTGGTTAAGTGTTTTGCATGCATTCTTTTATTACCATAACCCCCTAAGTTACTGCCTTTCTGTAGAAACTGAGGTCAGGATGTGAAACAAAATGTTAGCTTGAGTGTGTGCTCTTCGCTGACAGTATTGCTTCTGGGACTTCCTAGCGTGAAATTTTTTTTTCCCTCGCTTTTTTGGGAAAAAAGGATTTTCCCACTGAACTGGGAGAATGAGCCTGAGACCAAAGGCTATTCCATCTCTGTGCCGGTTAGGTAGAGAATAGGCAAAAGTGTATCATCTTTGAAAAACCAGAAGGGAGAGAGACCTGTCCAGGTCTATCAGGAAGGCCTTCTGTAAGCCTTGGAAGGGACCAGGGGTTTGTCAAGACCTGGGGGGCAGGGTCCAATGGGGAGTAGAGGAGAAATGACTACCAGTGAGTACATCCAGAGAGAAAGTGTGGGGTGAAGGGGGTCACAGTTGCCTAGGTGAAACTAGAAAGTAGGTCGTCGTGGGATCGGTGCTAGGCTGGATGTGCAGAGGGAAAGTGACGGCCGGAAGCCCTTAAAAGAGAGTGTGATGGTGTGTCGTCCAGTGGGCTGGGGGGCCAGATTTGAAGAGGTCTGAAAACAAGGGTATAACCCAGAAAGTTCATGCTTAAATTGATGGGATGCCAAGGGGCTGGCTTGTTCACACCCACCTATACTTCAACACACACTTTTCCCTGCACATGTGTGCTGTATGGTTGTTTTTGACAACCTTCCTTCAAATAGCAATTCCAGAAGCCTATAGGTTTTACTTTTTATTATCATGGACCTCAAGAAAATCTACTGAAAACCTCAGAAGAGTACCTACCTTACGCAGTATACATACCTTATAGAATGCATGCATGCTTACAAATTTGTTTCCAGATTTTGGAGCTTTTCACAGAACTCCCCAGAAACCCATCTTCCAAATAAGACCCTAAGCCCGGTACCTATGGGTTGTTGGGTGGGGGGGTAGTCATAGTTTACAGTTTATTTTCTTGTTCTCTTGAAGGATGGTAGCCCATGAGATTTTAACTATTTCTGATGTCAAACTCAGAATAATGCTTGCTCTCTAGCACTAGCGGCTGTATATTTCCTTGACCCTCCCAATTTTAGAATCTGGATTTTAGAATTTCAACTGGCATTTCTACTTGGTTTGGTGGAATGAGGATTTTTTTTCCCAGTCCCACTTATCTCTGTCTTCAAATCTTGGAATCCGTAACCAGGTCCTGATTTTCTAAGGAATAGTAAAGAAATAGTAACTGTGTTCTCGGGATTAGTGAGTCCCTGTAGAAACTAGCTACCTTCGGGAGAGCCATACTCCACAAACAGGTGACAGTCTTTCTGTTTCCAAAGCCCCCCAAAGAATCTACTTTCACTTTGGCACTGTACTCTCCTTATTAAGAAAATATTCCTTTCATCTTATACCTAATCCTTAGAGCCCTTATGTTCTGCCTACAGAGAAGGTGAATGTCACAGCCTTTGGTCTCTCAAACCATCATATATTTTTAATCATTGCTGGTGGATTATAGGCCTTCAAGCTATAGGATTTATGTTAGAAAACGTGCTTTTATTTAAAAAAAAAAAAGATTCATCTAATCTCTATACCCAATATGGGGCCCGAATTTATAACCCCGAGATCAGGAGTCAGATGCTCCATCAGATGAGCCAGCCTGGTGCCCCAGACAACCTGCTTTTAATGGCATCCATCTCACCTGCTTTGGACAGTTTCGATTAGCTGAGATCAAGATTAATTATAGACCAGATGATTGGTGTCCCTATTCTGCCGCCTCTGAACTTGGAATATCCTGGGGCAGACCCTACTTGGCGACAGATTCTAAACTACACGTTGGCTCATGTTTGTCACTTTTCTTCTAAGGTGAAGAGTTCACAGAGGAAGGAATGTCCTAGGAAAATCAGTTAAAAACAACAACAAAAAAAAAACACTGACACCAGATAGAGTGGTTCAGCCTTGGCCAAAAGTTATTTATTGCTCTGAAAGGGAAGAATAGCGGAGGACTTCCCCGTCGTCTCATGTTTGTGGGGCTCAGGCTGAGATATATTTATTCCCTCCCCCCACCCCTGGCCTCCCCCGTACCCCTGGCCCACTTCCCCTTCTCCCCTGTTATCTAACCTGCCCTGATAGACCGAGGCCGGTGCTCCACAGCCTAAATAGAAGCTCAGTCCCTCCCCGAGAGTCCAGGATTCTGGTGTGATTGACATATCTGTCTGGGAAGTGGGAGAAAGGCCGGAACCCAAGGCTCTTACCCCTGCTTCCCACACCCAGTGGGTAATAAGGGTGGGGTCAAAGGGATGACACCTAAGCATTATCAGCAGCCTCTGGCAGATAAAAATAGCAGAGCTGGAGGAGAAAACTGAAAATCAGATGGGTCGGGAAAGCTGGTCCAACAGATGAGGACTCGATCTTGGGAAGATATCGAGCTGGGAGCAACCCAACAGGAAAAGATGGCAGAGAGGCACCAGTTACTCTCTCCGGTGAGTTACCCTCCGGTGTTCCCAGACCTTAGAGTCAGTCTGTCCAGCGCCCACCCTTCACCTCTCCACGTCTGATGAGGGGCCAGGACACTTGGGTGCAGGTCCGGCACTCCCTGGGAGCACACAGGTTGGAGAGCCTGCTGAGCCTCTTTCCATCCTGGTCTGAGCGATATTTATAGAAGGCCCAGTGGCTTGGGGCTGGAAGTCTTCTTATGACTATGGAGGGGGACGGTGCTGCTGGCCCTGCTGAGGGAATTCCCTGTGGGGCTGTCCCTCAGGTTCTTCTCTCAACCCCTCCCCCGCACTGCTCTCACACCTGCTTCGACCCCAAGCAGATCAGATGTGGCGGGGGGGGGGGGGGGGGTATCATGTGACAGAGAGATGGCTATAAATAGCTGGGGGTGGGCATGCTGCCCCAGACGCCTTGGGGACAGGCAAGAGGACAGACTTAAGGAGCTGTACTGGGGGGAGGACGGGGGCAAGCAGGCCAAGGCCTGGCCCAGGGAGGGGCATGGAGCCAGCTGGGTCCCTGCGGCGTGGGGGTGAACAAAGCTGGTGGGGTAGTGCTCCCCAGTACCAGTATATGCCCTTTGAACACTGCACCAGCTACGGACTGCCCTCTGAGAATGGGGCCCTTCAGCACAGGCTCCGGAGGGATGCAGGCCCCCGGGCCAACACCCGCCCCACGCAGGTAAAGTCCTAAGCTGGGGGGGGGATGGACTCAAGGAGATAGTTGTGTGATGGATTGGGGGAAGTTAGGAATTAGGTGAAAAGAGGAAGAAGTATTAACCTTTTAACCTAAAAAAGTACATGGTAATGTGTTCAAAATATGAAAATACTTCAAAGGGCTGAGCTCAGCTAAGCATGCACTTACAGAGAGACCCATGCAGTTTTATATAACCCTGACTAAGAGGACACCGAATCCTCGGGGGGCATGGTACAGCGACACATGCTTGACTAGCTCGTGCTTACATAACCTGCATGGAGTGATTTGTGTGGGAGCTCACACCTCTGTGTGTGCACGCTGTCTCTTACACCCTCACCCCTGCGCAGACCCCACCAGATCTCTCCCTCCTGACCCTCGGTGGAACACACAAAAAGAAACACTTGTGCAGAAAGCAGAAGAAAGGTGCTGGGATAAGTAGAGCAAACTAAATTGCCTATGAGTGATCAAAGATACACCGGGGTCCAAATGAGCAGAAGAAATGCAATCAGACTTTTAGGGGTGAAGGTTGATCAAGTAAGAACCTATTAAGTGGTGGGCCCCAGGGAAGGTAGAGGTGTACGCTCCCAGCAACAGGGGATTGGGAGCTCTTTGGGGGCGTCCAGGGATAACCCCCCTCAGGAGTGGGAAGTGGTGAGTTGCAGACATCTAGGAAGGGGAAATGGGGGGCACAACCAAGGGAAAACTGCTGAGGTTGTCATGGATAGACGTGGAGGTGAGGGTCAGTGAGGAAATGTGATTGAGGAGTGTCACAGGATGGATCCTGTCAGCACCGGGAAGCCAGACTTTAAAAAGTGTTTTAGCTAAAGACGGGTCCGGGAGTGATAGGGTGGGGGATCTAGACAGGGTGGGGGATCTAGACAGGGTGGGGGACTGAGGGGTGGCAGCATTGCGGGTCAAGAGTCTATAGGGTTCACACCTCAGTCCTAGTCGGTCCCCAACACGAGGCAAACCTGGGGATCCAGTAGGGGGTGGGGACAGTCGGCGGAGGCTGGGATGGTGAGCGGGAGGAGTCGGGGGGCGCTTCCTAGGGAAGCTGGAGCCTGCCCTGGCCTTGCAACAAGGGATGAGATTGGACAGAAAGACCCCTGCCCATGGCCCGGGACGAGGGGGCTCCTCTCACCCGTGTTCACCAACCTAGCCGGGTGGGGAGAGTGGAAACAAGTAAAAGGCACTTTCTGGTGAGACAGTGAGGAGACCAGGCCGACTAACACGGGGCTCTGTGTTGGAAAGGAATGGTAAGTTAACTTCAGAAGTAGAGTTGGCCTGAAAGCAAAGAAGAGGGGTTTGGACTTGTTTTTCTCTGTTTAATTTTTATTACGGAAAATGTCAAACTTAAAAATAGACCTGTGTAATGAATCCCCAAGCACCCCTTACCCACCTTCAACAATCATCAGTACTTTGTCGACATTGTTCCAGCTGTTCCTTCCCATGCCCAGCCTCCCCCCTCCATACACCGGTGTTTTTGTTCATGAATCCCAGACACAGCCTCCCCTTCAGGCTTGGGTTCCCCGCCCCCCCGCCCCCCGCCGCCCTATGCTGATGCCCGGCTTAGCCCTCTTTTGGCTCTTTTAGGGGTTTCCCAGCCAGGGGTTGGTTTGGAGTCCCCCCCTCCCTTACCTCCACCTGCCTGGGGCCAGAGGCAGCTGAGATGGCAGGTGGAGGGAGGTGCCCTAAGCTGCATGGGTAGTGTCTGCTCTCGGGGGCCAGGTGGGGCAGGGAGAGACACACTGTCTCCCTCAGTCACTAACCTCACCCCAGAAGATGAAACAACCGTGAGCCGGGCAGTTAGTGTGCGCCTATCCAGAACTGGGGCGTAAACTCTGCTGCTCGTATTGTGAAATCAGATCTGTCCTACCCAGGCTCTCCCAGAACCAGCAACACGGCCTGGCCTGACCCTGGCCCCGGACGACGGAGCCAGTGCAGTGGGGGGAGGGCAGATGGAAAGCAGTGAGAGCCCTTGTTCCCCCTGCCCCATACACCCTCGAGTGCTCTGCACATCCTGAGGGCAGAGGGCTACCAGATGGGAGGGGTGCCGCTCTGCCCTCTCCACACTCTGTGAGCGCCTAGTGACCCTGCTCTGGGAATTCCCTTACCGGGACTGGCTCCTGTTTGTACACGGGCACAGGGAGACGAGGGGGATGGGCTTTCTCTGAGCTTGACAGAGCATCTGAGGGGCCTCAAGAAAGGCCAGACGCAGCAAGACGGAGAAACCAAGAGTCACCTGCTCGTCTGTCCTCACGGGTCCAACGTCAGGATTCCTAGGAAGGAGGCCAGTGCGGAGAAGGGGGCGGCTGGGGTAGTAGAGGCGGAAGCTGAAGCACCGTAAGCTGAGCCACATACAAAACGCCTATTTGACACTAATGTCCAGTCTTAGCAGAGTTCCTGTGTCTCTACTTCAGACTTTAAAAAGCTGTTTTCCATGTGGGTCTATGTGCTTCCCTCTTGTCTATTCCTTTTACCTCCAGCAGAACAAGACGTTTCCCATTCTCTCTGTGTCCAGATTTATGGCCATTACAAACAGCAGTTCTCAGACAAGGAGCAGGACCCAGGGATGCCCAAGAAGACGGGCTCCAGTGAGAGCGTGGACAGCAAGGCTGAGGAACACTATTCTAAATGTCAAGGTGATGGGGCCCCAGGGCTAAAGGCATCTGGAACGGAAGGAGGTGCATGGTCTAGGAGAATAACTGGGATGTGCCCGCCCTCACCCTCCCCACATCCACACGGAAGTCCTCCTCCAAGCAATAAGGAAAGGCATCTCTCCGTCTGCTCCCACTTTGCCTTGTTCCCGACTCTCCCTCCCCCCCCCCCCCCCAGGAAGCAAGAGTTTTAGAAGGCATTCAAGTATCCCATGGGGAATTGGACTGGGGCGCCTTCTGAAGGGGCGGGGCAGCAGCCAACAGAGAGGCGAAAAGAAGCTCGGTGAATGAGCCATAGAGCAAGACCGCCCCACCCCCCACCCCCCCGCACGCCTCTGCTCCAGTCCTCAGTCGGAGCTCAGAGTAGTGACGGGATAGCTGTCCTTCTTTGCCCTTCCCTCTTCCCAGGCTGTGTGCACCGCCTGGGACATGTGGTGAGAAGAAAATTAGGAGAAGACTGGATCTTTCTGGTGCTCCTGGGACTGCTTATGGCTCTGGTTAGCTGGAGCATGGATTATGTCAGTGCCAAAAGCCTCCAGGGTAGGTTTACCGTGGCCCTTCACCCTCCGCCTCTCCCTGCACGGTGGCTGTTTCTCGAGTTCCTACCTAGGACAAGTTGGGTGTGTTTTGGGAGGGGGGTGTTGCCCAGAGGAGATCTGGCCCAGGACAAGACCAGACCTGGACCAGAGCCGTTTCTCCTGCCCCTTCACCTGCTACCAAGCCAAGCTGACGGTGCCCCTCTAATCGGGTGACCAACTCATCCCCCATTTTCCCAGGACTATTCTGGTTTGAGCACTGACCACCCTGAGTCCCAGGCACCCCTCAGTTCTGGGCAGACTGGCACAGCCTCTAACAATGTGCCTGCTCAAGTGGGCTTGGCAGCTTTGCCGCGGACCCCACCTCCTACAAGAGGTGGGAACTTGAACAGGTCACGTCACCGCTCACAACTCAGGTTCCCCCATGCGCAATGAGAACAGTACCATCTCATGAGGTCAAACGGGATTGCCAGAGCGTAAGGACGCTCATGGCACACCGGTGTGCTGCAGCCATGGTGGAGCGGTGACATCCTTGTCACCCTGGGACTGAGCCCAGGCCCATGTCTCTGCAGCCTACAAGTGGACCTATTACCAGATGCAGCCCAACCTGCCTTTGCAGTACCTGGTCTGGGTCACCTTCCCACTAACTCTCATCCTCTTCAGTGCCCTCTTCTGCCACCTCATCTCTCCCCAGGCTGTTGGTGAGAATTGCCCCCTCTCCTCCCCGTGTCATGTGGTCAGCACAATCTCACTGGCCTGCAGACCTTTCCAATCCACTTCCTCCCTCTCCCAGCCCTCCTGACGGCCCTTTCCCCTGCTCTGCCGTCATCCCCCCACCACTGCCTCTCCCCCCACCCACCCCCATCGCCATGTCCACTGTCTGGACGTTCATCTCCCTTTGAACCTCTAGCTGGAAGTTGCACATGATCATTCTTTGACCGTTGTAGGCTCTGGAATCCCTGAAATGAAAACAATACTCCGTGGGGTCATCCTGAAGGAATATCTCACCCTCAAGGCCTTTGTGGCCAAGGTTGTGGCCCTGACTGCGGGGCTGGGCAGTGGCATTCCTGTAGGGAAGGAGGTAGGTCCACCGATCCTCCAGCAGAGGGCAGCACTGAGCCCAGAGGGAGCTCTCTGAGCAGACGTGGGCGCCGGCTCGCGGGGTGAGCCGGTGCCAGGGGGCAGGAGAGAGGGGAAATCAATACTCAGGAAGGTCCTAGTCCTGAGGCAGAATGACAGACGCATCTGAGCTGGTAGGGACTTAGAGCAGTCTCCTAGCCTGGGCACTGTGGACATTTTGGGCTGGATAATTCTTGGTTCCGAGGGGCTGTCCCTGTGCATTGTGGGAGGTTTAGCAGCACCCCTGACCTCTACTCCCTAGATGTCAGTAGTGCCCCCCCAGTTTTGATAATCAGAATATCTCCAGACACTGGCAAATGTCCCCGGCGCGGGGCGGCGTGGAGAATCTCCCCCAGTTGAGGACCACTACCATGGAGACACTCCAGACCAATTTCCTTATTTTAATATGCGGAAGCCAAGACCCAGAAAGAGGCTGTGCTGCTTCCAAGGTTCCGCTCCTGTGCGTTCTTGCGTCCCTGCAGTAGGGATCCACATGGCAGCCAGAGTCGGCTTTTCAAAATGCAGTCAGTACTGGCTGACATCTGCTTCGGAACTACTGATGGCTTCCCAGTCTTAAAATAAAATCCCAGCTTCTTCCCGGGGCCGGGGAGACCTGCTGATCTGGCTTCTCTCGGTCTGGTCTCCGGTCCTCCCAAGCTGCCCCTCGGGCACTGTGTTTGGGTGACAAGCTCTTCCCACCCCTCAACCACACAAGCTGTTCCTGTCCCAGGGCTCCTGCACTTGCTGTTCCCTCAGCCCGGAACATTCTTCCTTCTGACATGCACGTGGCTCACAACCTCATTTCGGTGGCGACACTAGTCAGTTGTGACGCCAGCGCGCCTCCTCTAGGCCCCCATCGCACCCTTGTCTGTCCTGCCCCCTCCCCCATCTTCTCCCCCCCCCCTGCCCCGGGGGGGGGGGGCGTCGCTGAACCGCTGGTCCACCCCCTCCCTTCCTCTCGGGCTGCAGTTCCTGAGGGCACACCCTCTGTGTTGCTCACTGCTGTATGTCGGGCCCTAGCTCAGTGCCCAGAGCCATCAGGCTTGTCCACGGAATGCCACACAGCCTCCCATCTGGGCCCCGGCCCCTGACCCGTCCCCTCCTTCTTTCTCCCAGGGCCCCTTTGTCCACATCGCCAGCATTTGTGCCGCTGTCCTCAGCAGGTTTATGTCGATGTTTTGTGGGGTCTATGAGGTAAGGTTGAGGAAGTAAGATGAGGGAGGGGCTGTGTGTGTTCAGGGCATCGGGAGGGCTGTCTTGGCGCTGGGCTGGCCGTGATGCTGACGTGGGGCACTGCGCTAACCCACGCTCCCTTATCCTCCACACACATCCCCGACCCGCCTACCCCAGCCACACACTGCCGCCACCGTCCAGGACGCCCTTCCCTCCTTGACCCGCGCCCCTGCTCCGGGCCTGCACCCTGGCCAGTTCCTCTGCTGCCCGCCTGCCTACCCCTGTCCCGTTGTCTTCCTAGCCCCGACCCCACCCCTCGTGAGCACTGCTGCCTGCCGCAGCCCTCTACCCTCCTCGTCCTGCGTGCTTCTCTGTTGCAGACCGTGTCTGGGCAGCTTGATCTCCTGGTGTCGGCCTGCGCGGTGGGCGTGGGATGCTGCTTTGCAGCCCCTGTCGGAGGCAAGTCCCACCTCCTCCCTACCCCGGTTCCCCGAGCACGACTTGGAAGGGGGTTGGAGTGGCTGCCTAGGCTTTGGGGTGGACAGGATGCTCGCCAAAGGGACTAGTGGGTGGGCATTGAAGGAGTGAGCCGGATCACAGCCCCTGGTTTGCAGGTGTGCATACTTTTCTACCAGAGGGCTGTGTGTTTCTTTGCGGCTGGTGGCTGTTTTATGCAGGCTTTATTGGTACTGTTTGTCTGAAGTCCTTTTGTTTCTCTTGCCACTGACACTTCTTGCCCGGGGCGTCCCCATCTCCAGCCCCTCTCTGATGATCACTTAGTGGCTGACATGCCTTCCACATATTTATCTTTTATTTCATTTTCTATGTTTGGCCTGCGCTATGAGGTCACTTCCTGTTTGCAAACTAACTGAGTGTCTCTTGGCCTGGGAATCACTGGGGGAGAGGGGGCCACTCTGATTCCCTGTGACTTAAGCCTCTCCTTCTGCCTTATTCCCCACCCTTGCTTGTTCTCCGTTCCTCTCTGCCCCTGCCATCTGTCTGTCTGTCTGTCTGTCTGTCCCCTAGTAGCAGCCATACTATTACACTGACATGCTGACGGTGGGCTGCGCGGTAGGAGTCGGCTGCTGCTTTGGGACGCCACTTGGAGGCAAGTGATTGACCCCCTCCTACATCAGTCCACTGCCCAGGCTGGCTCCCCGGCCGGGTTTTGTCAGCATCCCCAAGTGCGATGTTACCTGTTAAAACGAAAGTATGACAAGAATAGCAAACTTTTACTGAGCATTTACTATGTGCAAGTGATGTTCTAAGCATCTCTCTACTACATTCATTCCTGCTAAAAGCCATATGAGACCCATGGTGCGGAGGAGAGGGAGGAGAGAACTGATTACAGAGAGGGCAAGGGACTCAAGCGAGTGGAAGAGCCAGGAATGAAAACGCAGGCAGCCTCCCCGTTCCCCTCCTTGTCTTAAAGAAAGCCTGTCGGTATTGTTGGACATGTTTGCCCTCCACTTACCACTACATCTTCTACCAGGAGACTCTCGGTAGTTTGTTCTCCAAGGGAAAACTTCCATTTGTGCATGTTACCAGGACACAGGGGTGTAGGTGGGCCTTACTTGGACTCATGATCAGCCTTCACGAGGGCTGTGGATGGGAGTTAGAGCCCCGTAGCTTCCTGACAGTGACTTAAACCTGAGGTTAGCTCTTTCTGCACGTGGAAGGCAAAGGGTGGATTGTCAGACTGTTACCTTTGTCCTGGAACACTAACGAATGGGTCGGGGCGGAGAAAGCAGTTGTACCTGTTTATTTACAACTCAGTGTGAGCTGTAACGGGATTAACACGGCAGGGGGGTGGATTACATGGATCATTCACTGGTGATAAAAAGGACATCACGTTGACAGCTGGGGAAACAAAATTGCAGGTAATGCTTCTTAAACACACCTGCTGTGAGAGGTACCTTTTTGATTATGAGAATGTCATCAGTGCCTTCATAGGGTGTTCAGGTAACTAACATGACTTGGCTCAGGAATGACGTAGGGATAAGCGTTCAGAGTGAATGGAAGTGCATCCTGCTCACTTGTCCTGATGTGGCGTCAGCGCACACAGCTCAAGGAGATCCTATCAGCTAGCATCCCATCTGCACTTCTGGCCTCAGTTCTTGTCGTTGAAGTCACTAGTCCCCACAAGTGAGGGGTGTGTTTGAGTTTCCGTACACGTTAGACGTTACACGCTTACATTTATACCCACTTTCACCTTTACTTACTCTTTTCACCTTACAAATCCAGAAGATTGAAAAAACATTTTTAGACAGGAAGACTTTTTAAATTTTTGTTTTTAATCAGCCAGATTCTTTTAAAATGAAGAGAATCTGTATTTTTTTTTGTATAAAATTGGAATTTCTAGGATGAACAAGGAAGGTTTCTCTTGGTCCAGTGTAGAACATAGAAAAGATAAGAGATTTATAGATAAAACATGCCTCTTGATGCAAGAAAAGGTTCAGGACTGAAAAATTGAGGTGTTATTTTCAGGATGTTTATATTGAGTGCAAGTAATAAATGTCCTGGCCGGTAGCTTTATGTGATTGTTTTTCTTTTTCTTTTTTTTTTTTTTATGATCATAGAATAATCCTGAAAGAAAAAAATTAGTAAGGCAATTTGTTCACTATATAGCCAACTCTTAATTCCTTACACTGATAAAAGAAATCTGCTTCAACATTCTGCTAAAATGACAAAACATCCTTTTGCTTCCATCACCTGCCCTCTGGATGCTATGCTGGATCTTGTGCTCCCAGGCACTCGCAGCCGAAAGGGTGGCCGGGCAGACAAACCCATCCTCACAGCCCGGCTCAAAGAAGTGTCTCCAGGGCATCTTGAGCAAAGTGCAAGGAAGACTGTGAGGACCGGGGGCTCTAATCGCAGCAGATGAGAGAATTGCTAGAGGATGCAGGGGAACTGGGATGAGTCTGCACAGGGAAGTGGGGCTGCATCGTGAAGGTCCTCAGCGGCCATGCACAAGAATGTAGATTCTGTTCTCCAGGCTAGACTTTGTCCAAACGTGTTTTGCAGAGCAGAGTTCTCCATGGTGTTAATAGATGTAACATGTGAAAAGGGTCTCAAGGTCAAAAAGTCAGAAAGTGCTATGTAAAACAGATAGTTTTTTTAAACTGGAAAAGTTATCAGAATGTTGGATATGCTGGCAGGCATTGTGAATATGCAAACTGTGGCTCAAATACAGCCTTTCCCACAGAATCCCTTTTGCAAGGAACTTCTCACGAGACTCATAGTGTATCATAGATGGACTTTGGGAAATGCTGTCATGGGTGAAGGGGAGCCATGGAAGAATTCTGACCAAGAAAGTGGCGTGACAAGCTGTGCTCACTCATCCAATCCCTTTGGCAAATGTGTGCGGAATAAAACTGGCCTGTGGATTAACAGGATTCATCTGAGATTAACAACAAGACTATTGTCGTAGCCCTGATGCTAGATGATGAGAGATGGAACTGGATGGAGGCAGAGGAGAGAGAGAGAGAAGAGGCAATAGGAAGTCCAACTGACAGGACCTGGAGGTTGATCTTATGCAAGGTTATAGAGGATGAGAGAGGACGAGGAATTGGGGTCAGCTCCCAAAGTTTATTTCAAAGAACACTGGATGGCCAGCAGTGCTAGTAAGCAAGACAAGGAATATAGGAAGTGACACAGGTCTGGAGGAGTTGATCAATTTTACTTTATTCTTTTAAAAAAAGATTTATTTATTTTGGAGAAAGAGAGAGTGAGGGTGAAGGGGAAGAGAGAGAGACTCTTCAAGCAGCACTCCCTGCTGAGTGCTGAGCTCCATCCCTCCACCCGTGAGATCATGACCCGAGCTGAAACCAAGAGTCAAGAGTCGGACGCTTAACCGACTGAGCCACCCAGGCACCCCCACTTTTACTTTAGATATGCTGAGTTTGAAGTTCCTGTGGCATGTCCAAGTGATACCGAATAGGTCGCTGGATCGGTGAGTCTGAAGTTCAGGAACTGAGCTGAAAACATCGCTTTGCTGCCCAGTAGCATGGAGGTGGCAGTTGAAGCCATGGGCATAAATGGAATTGAGAGAGTGTGTCTGGGTAGCGAGAGCAGGTCACCAAGGACAAGGCCCTGGCCTGGGCAGAGGCAAAGGAGCCCGAGCGGGGGAACAGAGAATATCCAGGGTGGCAGGAAAGAGCCATACTGCAGAACGTCAGAGACCAGAGAGTTTCCAAAAGCTGTTTGTGTTTGTAAGGCTTTGTTTGCGTTTAGCAGCACATTTTCTGGTTGGCTCAGACTAATATTAAAATCAGTTCTCATTCCTGAGGATACAGTGACAGACCGCTAGGGAAAGCATCCCAGAACCACCTTGTAGGAAAGAAAACCTAGCCTAGGGTTTCAAAAATTGGTTGTAAAATATTCCTAAGTTGGATAGCTTACACCCCAACAAATCAGAGCTGACTTTGGTTTTGTTACTAGTCAGGAAAAGGGGAGAGACTTGCCTCCCCGATGCCCCCTGCGCCCCCTGCGTCCCCACTGTGTCAAATCGCCCTTTTAGCCCAAGGACGCAGCTGCCTCACCTGATGTGTTTTGAGGAGCAGGGGCAGAAGGGGCGGCTGGTAGCTCTCTCTGCCCCTTATTCGCCGGCCCTTGGTCCGTTTTCGGAAATTTCACCCGTTCTGTTCCCTTGTGTTCTCTTTCCTTCTCGTCCACCCCTCTCCCGTTCATCCACGGAACAGACACTGAGCCCCGATGAGGTGCCAGGCATGGTATTAGGTGGTGGGTTGAAGACCACCCCACCACCCCCATCCCCCCCCGCCGCTCCTCTCTGTATCTCGTTGGACCACATCCCTAGCCTGCAAACAGTTGCCAGCATGAGCAACTGTATGGTTTGGAGCCGGAGGTTCCAGGACACCGTTACTTCCCACTACTGCGTCCCTCGTGATTCGGGTCTCAGCAAAAGCACCTCAGGCCCGCAGGGCGGGAGTGTGGGGCGGAGCCTCTGGCTTTTGCCTGCACCTGACCACCTCCGCGCCCCCGCAGGAGTGCTGTTCAGCATCGAGGTCACCTCTACCTACTTCGCTGTGCGGAACTACTGGCGAGGATTCTTCGCGGCCACGTTCAGCGCCTTTGTTTTCCGCGTGCTGGCCGTGTGGAACAAGGATGCGGGTAACGCGGCAGCGGGGGGTGGAGGCTGGAACGGGGGCGTGCAGGGAAGCTCCTTGGGGCAGTTTAGAAAAGGAATGGATGGCGTTATTTGGAAAGAGGGCCCAAGGCCCAAGGATATAGGGCAAAGATCTAGGTCATGGCGTAGGAGGGCAGTATTCAAGCATAAACACTGGGAACTCAGTGGAAGAAGAGCCAGCGGCCCAGGAGGGAGGAAGGAGCTGACCCGCGGCTGATGGCTTTGGCTTCCCCCCGGGTTTCTGTGGCGCTCCCACCATGATGCCTGGCCCTTCCACCCCACAGTCACCATCACTGCTCTCTTCAGAACCAATTTCCGAATGGATTTCCCCTTTGACCTGCAGGAGCTCCCAGCCTTCGCCATCATCGGGTCAGTGGGGTCGACTGCTCGGGGGCAGGGTGCGGCTTCGGCGGAAGGGGCCCCAGCTGGAAGAAGGTGGGGCCGACGTTGTTAAGTGTGAATCGCTGCAGGCAGGAGGGCGGAAAGGGAGGGCGGCCGCCTGCTGTTCGTCCCGCCGCGGGCAGGGCCGGGAGGAGGGTTCCATGGCTGTACAACTCCCGCCCTCAGGATTTGCTGTGGCTTCCTGGGAGCGGTATTTGTGTACCTGCATCGCCAAGTCATGCTCGGTGTCCGAAAGAACAAGGCCCTCAGCCGGTTTCTGGCGAAGCAGTGAGTCACTGCCCTTCTGTGTCCCACCCAGTTCCTTTCTGCTCTCTCCACGAGCCCCTCCCTTTTAATCTTTGTCAAAAGCGGTCCCTGCCTTTAGATGGCTTGCGGTGAAATACCCGGATACTCCGTAGGGAGCGAGCGGCGGGGTCCGCCGCTCAAAGGTTGCGCGTTGGTGGCAAGAACGTTCTGTGTTTAAAGAGCTGAGGCTGCAGCGCGCTGCCGGGGCCCGGCTCCCAGCTCAGTGTGGCGTCCACGGGGCTAACTTGCGGGCTTCCCGTCTGTTTCTTTTTCAGCCGCCTGCTGTATCCCGGAATAGTCACCTTTGTCATCGCCTCATTCACCTTTCCGCCAGGAATGGGTCAATTCATGGCTGGAGAGGTCAGCTCCAAGGAGTCTGGGGGGCGGTCGGGTCACTGAGCACATGACAGGGACTCAGCCAGGGCTGGGCCACAGCACAGACAGCCTTCAGGCGTCCGAGCGCTTTTGTCCGCGGGTAGAACCTCTCCCCGAGAGAAGAGCAGGAGAGCCCCTTCAACAATGAGACTGGTGGGGCAGTTCTGTACAAAGCCCTAGTACCCGACGTCCTTGGAGACGGGCGCCTTTTGCTTCGTCCTCTCACAGCTGATGCCTCGTGAAGCCATCAGTACCCTGTTTGACAACAACACGTGGGTAAAGCATGTGGGTGACCCTGAAAGCCTGGGCCAGTCGGCTGTGTGGATCCACCCACAGGTCAACGTGGTCATCATCATCTTCCTCTTCTTCATCATGAAGGTACTCCTCTTGCACTCCTGACCTCTTAAGCTTCTGTCCGTTTTCAACCTGGAACACACAGTTTGCATAGAGTAGGAGAGGGTACAACTCCATCGGGGCTTTGTCCAACCTAAAGAGAAATAGCTGTGAAACCATAGCCTAGGTAAGTTGCTCACCTACAGGAGTGAGCCAATATCTGGGTTAATTGCTTCCTTCATGTCAACTTAGCAATGTTGCCATAATTACCATAAGCCTGCTAAAGGTTCCACTCACTAAATGATTAAGACATCACAGCAGCCTAGTAAACGAGGAGGAGATAGGGTTGAGCAATATAGATAACTGTGTAAATGCCTGACTTAAATTAATCAAATCTGCCCCACATATTAGATAATTAGGTACTTCATTCTCCTGTATCCAATTATCCATCTTTAGGTGATTTGCATATCCATTTTCCCCCCACCTAGTGGGTAATCTCTTTTCTAGAACTGCCAAAGAGATTAAATATTTAACTCAATTTTATTAGTGACTGTAATTTTTTAAGGCTTTATTTATTTAAAGAGAGAAAGCACATGTGCATGAGCTCAGGGAGGGGGAGAGGGAGAAGGAGAGAGAGAATCTTAAGCAGACTCCCTGCCGAGCATGGAGCCTGACATGGGGCTTGATGCCATGACCCTGAGATCATGACCTGAGGCAAAATCTAGAATCAGACGTTTAACCGCCTGAGCCACCCAGGCGCCCCGATAAGTAATTTTTTTTTTAAAGATTTTACTTATTTATTTGACAGAGAGAGATACAGCGAGAGAGGGAACACAAGCAGGGGGAGTGGGAGAGGGAGAAGCAGGCCTCCCGCCGAGCAAGGAGCCTGATGTGGGCTTGATCCCAGGACCCCAGGATCATGACCTGAGCCGAAGGCAGACGCCTAACCACTGAGCCACCCAGGCGCCCCACCCTATAAATAATTTTTATACATGTTATTATTCCCTCTTTTGGTGGTGAGGCCATGAGGATTTTGCCACTCTCAAGTCATTTTCTCCTCATTTCAATTAGGAGGCCAAAGCTGGCCTCTTCCATGTCTGTCCATGGAGGACCACGTCTTCATCGGCTTCTCAGTCAGTGCTTTTATACAAAGACATTTTTGTTTCTACCACCCCCAGTTGGGACATCTATTACAATTGCTGCTTCCCCCCCTCCTTTTTTTTTCTTTTTCAGTGATTGCCTTGTTACGAATGGTATGCCTTGCCTGAATGATCCAACATTTTCCTCTGTATATTAGGGTTCTCATTCAAAAGTCTGTCCACACTGAACTTTCGTGCTTTTGAATACCTTGCTATTCACTCACTCATGATACATTTTGTGAATCTATATTTTCCCAGGATATGAGTCATTAAGTTATATTTACAATATGATAGCTGTTATGGGTTCATTTATTCCATAAATGTTATTACACACCTACCGCGTGCCAAATATATAATATTTGATTGTTGAACTTTGGCAAATTTCATGCTATGGTTGAAAAAGATGTCTTTGTTTTTGGCTGTTCCTTTACTGTACTTGTCAAGGATCCTGTGATTAAAGACACCAGGTGCTTGACACACCAGGTTCCAACTCTGACTTTCCTTCTCAGGATTTGCTCTGGGTTTCTAGAAGCTGGATCTCTGCATGTTCTTTCCCATTCCACTCTGTGTGTGTTCAGTGGGTCGGCACCTTCCATATTTTGTATGCCTACTTTATTAATTAGGTCTTTTTTATGTCTTCCTTCAAAAGATTTGATATTTTCATCATAAATAAGTTCTCAGTACCTTGTTAGGGAATTGACTTTTGGACTTTCAATACAGAGTTCCTCTTCTCTAACTTATAAATCCCAGCTTCCTGTAAGTAACCAAGTCCAAGCTTTGATAGCATCTCAGAATTTATACTTTTAAAATGTCAAGCTCTTGCCAAGTTTTATAGAAACAAAATACCGTGTATTTTTCAACACTTCCCCTACACCTCACCTCACCTCACCTCCCCAGATTCCCAAGTATATAGCTGGATTTGACTTCACAGATTAAAGTTTACCCTGAGAAGCCTGCTTGGATTATATTAGCAGAACTCAACTGTATGTTGCTATTATTAATTTCTCACTGAATCACATCCTTGATAATGTTTACATCATAAGCATAACAGGGGAAGAAACTCACATATTTCCTGGGCTGTATTTCAAGCCCCACAGTTTGCATCAGGCCTATGCCATTCCATAATATTTATAAATGTAACACCACTCGTTGCTATAAATCCATGATATTGCCCGATTATCACTGCCTCCAGCATTTTCACTTTTCTGTTATTGGGCACATACGCATCCATCCCTTTATTTATTCTTAAGTGTAGGTAATAGGCTACATAGCCAAATTAGAATATGAAAGTGACTAGAACTATTTTTCCAAGTCTGGTTTGAAATTTAGCCTGTGTGGGCTTCTAGCGGTATCCACACAGGCAGATAAGGTTCTCAGCTATTATGAAGGGAACTTCCATCTTCCTCAATCTTAAGACATGGAAAGTATCATCATGTTGTAAATCAGCAGCTGCTCAATGGGTATGAATAAAATTACAACTTCTCAGTTTCGCTTTTTAATACTAATGTTATTATCTAGTATCACTGATCAGCATAGCCTGAAGGCTCTGTGGAATTCTCCATAACGCTCCTTCTGTCAAGGGTCTAAATGAAGTGGAATCTGTCATGATGGGTCTGTAGTTTCCCAGTTCTCTAGAATTGGGTGTTGAAATTCTTGGGAGTTATTTGTGTTCTACATTATTTACATTGCTTCTGGATATTTCCTTTTGTGTGCTAATAGCTCAAAAAGTTGGCTAACCTCGTATCATTCTTTGTCCTTAGGAGTTGATCACTTCAGTGCCCTCTGGTCCTCATCTGTTCTTCCACATATCTTGGGGGATAATCCAAAATTCATCCTCTGAAATCAGACCTATCAGCCACCTATAATCTGTATTACTGGAGCTTTCAGATTAACCCGAGCCTACAAAATCCATTATGGCTTTCATGTGCTTATTCCAAAGAGATGGTACAGAATAGTTCAAAGGGTCTCCAATTGTTATGTCACAATCATTCGCAAAAGTTAAGTAAGTTACAAGTGCCCAGAACTTCGTGTCCACGTAGACTGACGTGGTGTCTAGTTATCTGCAGTTTCAACAAATTACCCAACAAGCATTTCTGTTGGGTGTTTCAGCAAATAGTAGCTCTGAGAAACCTTTTCTCTGTTGTATGGACACTATTTGACCAGGCTCTCTTCTTTCTTTCCTCCTCCCTCCTTCCCTCCGCAGTGACCTACCTACATCCTACCTGCGTCGTTGAGCACCACTCCAGGGCTGAGAGCAGGCAGAGAAAACAAGACACACAGTTGCCCTATACTCAAGGCTTTCTCAGTCTATGTTCTCTTCATATGTACATTTGACTTTGCAGTTCTTAGCTGTTTTACATGGTCATATTCTGACATGAAGGAAGTATACATTTTGTCTCGTCTCAGAGCTTCTGGGATGAAGCCTTTGTCATGGCCTCTTGACATCAGCCCTGGCTCAAGGGAATCTTTCTAAGGTTCAGAATAGTAAAAAATGTATTTCTCATTTGCTTACAATGCACTTGGTACAGATTTTCAATTATAAATATTTTGATTTGTTCTGATTTAGCTGCTACCATCTTTCACCACATGAGTTTGAGATCCTTTTGTAAGATTGGCTTACTTATTTTGCAAGTGACACATAAACCTGTTTCTAAATTTACTTGTTGTGTCTCATATTTTTATTTCTTTTACAGATATTTCAAAAGTTCAACCAATAGTTTCTCCACTCTATTTCTCAGTTCTTCCACACTCTTTGCCATAGAATGTACATGTTGCTTTTGCTAAAATTGTCCTGGTTTCTGTTGGAATACTACCTGACACAGTTGGCCTTTGAGATCTTTTCTGTTACACTGGCTAGCTTTCTCAATGTGCCCTTCCAGTATGGCTAGGATAGATCTGATCTTTTGAACCTCTGTTTAATGTGATTTGATGCTAAAGGAAATGACTCAGGCAGGACAGTCTTCACTCCAGGTTCCCTTGTGAGGTTTCCATGTAAGTGGGTTTGTAAATGCCCGTATCATTAAATTACTCACATAGGAAGTCACTAAAACTCTAAGATGTCTGCCACTTAGAGCTGGGCTCTTTCTCAGAAACACAATCTGACCAGGAAAAGATATCCTCCAGCTTCAAGAGTTTCAGGCTGTTCTGCTGAGGTGACCTTTTTGGGCTAAGAGGGTATAGTATAGGCTAGGACCCTTCTGGAGGGTCATATTCCACGCCTTGTTCTAGATTGCCTGAAGGCAAATATAGTCATTTTCCACGCCTTGTTCTAGATTGCCTGAAGGCAAATATAGTCATTCCAAGTAGAAACGATCATCAGGAGGAACTTTCTTCTAGTACTGTCTTTGGTGGTCTTAGGCTGAGCGAGTACTCCACGTTTTTGGTTCTGGAGGAGGGGTGCAGACAAGATGACTCTGGAGGGATTAGCTATCCCAGGGCTTCTGTGACTCTTGAGGCGGGAGGGAGGGTTGGAAGTGGGGAGGGAGTAGAGTATGCGCATGTGTATTGGGCAGAGTTGAGAGAGGGTGTCCTGATGCCTCTTTTTACTCCAGTTCTGGATGTCCATCGTGGCCACCACTATGCCTATACCCTGCGGAGGCTTCATGCCTGTGTTTGTGCTAGGTAAGTTCTGATGGGAAGCCTGGGGTCTTGCTGATAGCCGCAATCTAGGGTACTGGGAAATTAAGGAAAGGCCTGGAATGCCAGGGGCTTGTATTTGGTCTTAATGCCCAAGGAGGGATTGGCTCTGAAATATAGAGGATAAGGAACTCGGATCTTTCAACACCTTCCTTTCTTTTGTCTTTCCTCTAGGAGCTGCATTTGGAAGGCTGGTAGGAGAGATCATGGCCATGCTATTCCCTGATGGTATCCTATTTGATGACATCATCTACAAGATCCTACCTGGGGGCTATGCAGTAATTGGTGAGACACATTCCAGCCTCGGGTAACCCCTAACAGGCGCACTCAAACTCTCCCATAACATCTTTATTCCAGACAAACTGCACATGTAATGTGGTTTTAATTTTATGCTATTGATTCAACTTTTATTCAAGTAATCAACCCTTGGCTCTGATTCTCATTAGCTCTCATTGAACGTCTTTGAGCCTTAGTTTCTTTATGTAGAAAAGGGATTATGGGGATTAAACGAGATAATAAGAATGAAAACACCTAAGATTGTGTCTGAATGTTTGGTAAGGGTTTCTTCTTTCCTTCCAAAGAATCATAGAACCAACAGTACAGGTGACTGGCTTGGATACTGTCAAACTGCAGGTGTGCTAATACTGACAGGACTTAAGAGTACATGACTAAGAGCTAAGAAACGAGGGCTCTGTACTCACCCCTGCCACTTGTCACCTGGATGGATGACTGTGGAGCAGGTTAGCTACCTTTCTGCACCTGAGTTTCTTTATTGTAAAATGACTTCTGAGATACCTTACAGCCCTAACATTCTGAGAATCTGTGATAATCTTTTTCTCATTAAATCCACAACCCCATCCAACCAAAACCCTGTCTAACAAATACAGTGGCCAGTGTAATCCTCAAAATTACTGTACCTCTGCCCTCCTTTTCTTCTTCACCAAAACCCCATAACATCTAAGACCATCCCTCCCTTAAATACAGAAGCATTAGGCAGCTTTCCGGTGCATATGGTGTCCTTACTCCCGCATCACAGACCTTTAAGAAAGCCTCTTTCATCAGTAGGGGTCACTTGCTCTTATTCCCCATCTTGACTCTCAGGTATCACGCCACCCTCCCTGGCGGACATTTCCCAGGATACGTATCTCCTGTGACAGTTTATGTTCTGAAGTATACCATGTGTGCCATCTTGGAGAATTATTCCTCCCAGTATTTCCCTTTTGTGACTTTTCTTTTTTTAAGTAAGCTCTACACCCAACGTGGGGCCTGAACTCATGACCCTGAGATCAAGAGTCAGATGCTCTATTGATTGTGCCCCTCTCTTTTGTGTCTTTTTCTTGTTCTCTTTTCATGTGTACCTTCTAGTGGCTATTTTTGTTGATGGGAGAACATAACTAAAAACAAATAAGATTCTGTTTTCAAAGAGTTCATAGAATCATAACGTTTTAGATCTGCAAGGGCCTTACAATTTATTTAATGACCTTTTTTACCTTAGAGATGTGAGTATGGGATTCCAGAAGAATCAAGTTCTACACATACAGTTGAGAAATTGAAGAATCAGGATCTTACGCAGGTGTCATTACTCCAAGTTCACAGCATGAGTCCCGGGTTTTGACTCTCTTCACTCATAAACTGTTGGCATCAAAATCTGAGGTCCAATGGAAAATGCCATCACTGGGTTTTAGAATGCTCAGTTAAGAATGATCCAAACTTTTGGGGTGCCTGGGTGGCTCAGTCAGTAGAACATGTGATTCCTGATCTCAGGGTTGTGAGTTTGGGCCCCACGTTGGATGTAGAGATTACTTTAAAAAAAAAAAAAAAAGATCCAAACTTTCAAAAGCAAGGAATAGATAGGACATCACTGTCTTCATTTTACAGATGAAAATTTGGGCACACACAATGATTTTGCAAATTGCCCAAGGACATAGAATGAAATCAAAATGATTTGCCAACAGTTTTCTAGCCCCCACTCTTGACAGATGGTTATGTCAGGGGTGTTGCACTGACCAGGATCCTCTCTGCCGTCACGTCCCCACCTGCCCTCCATGCCAAGAATGGCAGCCCTAACCCACCGGTACGTTCCTGTGTCGTTCTAGGGGCAGCGGCGCTGACTGGTGCAGTATCCCACACAGTCTCCACAGCTGTGATCTGCTTTGAATTAACGGGTCAGATTGCCCACATCCTACCCATGATGGTGGCTGTCATCTTGGCCAACATGGTGGCTCAGAGCCTGCAGCCCTCTCTCTATGACAGCATCATCCAGGTCAAGAAGCTACCCTACTTGCCTGACCTTGGTTGGAACCAGCTCAGGTCAGGGCACCAGCTGGAATTAGTTCAGACTGGATGGGGTGAGGGGTGGGAGCTTCTGAGGTTGAGACTGAGGTTAGGATCAACATTTGGAAACACTGCCTTTTACTTATTTTGATGTTCCCATGGACTTAACGAATATTACGAGTGATGGAATGCATGGCAAACCTCACGGGAGGAATGGAAGGAACAGCAGAGGAACAAGCATCTGGTGGGGCTAACCCCCTATGCCTTCTCCCCCCATAGCAAATTTACCATCTTTGTTGAGGACATCATGGTACGTGATGTGAAGTTTGTTTCAGCCACTTGCACGTACGGGGAATTGCGAACCCTGCTCCAGACCAGCACGGTCAAGACTTTACCACTGGTTGATTCAAAAGGTCAGTGGGAAGAAAGGAAGCAGACTCCTGAGCTGGTGACCTGAACAAGGGCTCCACAGAGGTGGAGGAGGCACTGTAGTATGGGCTTATCTTTAGGGACCACCCAGTCTGCTACAGGATACCCAGCCTGTGTTCCTTAGGGAACACAATCATCTTCAAGAAGGAACAATAGAGCCAGAACACAAGCAAAAGAAGATAGTTAAAAATCCAGTTAGAGAGGGGCACCTGGGTGGCTCAGTCAGTTGAGCGTCCGACTCTTGATTTCGGCCGGGGTCATACTTTCTGGATCATAATCTCTGGATCGTGAAATCAGGCCTAAATTGGGCTCCATGCTCAGCGGGGCATCTGCTTGGGATTCTTTCTCTCCTTCTGCCCCTCCCCCCGCTCTCTCTTTCTCTCTAAAATAAATGAATCTTTGGGATGCCTGGGTGGCTCACTCATTGAGCATCTGCCTTTGGCTCAGGTCATGATCCCAGGGTCCTGGGATCGAGCCCCACCTCGAGCACCCTGCTCAGCAGGAAGCCTGTTTCTCCCTCTGTTTGTGTTCCCTCTCTTGCTGTGTTTCTCTCTGTCAAATAAATAAAAATCTTTAAAAAAATAAAAAATAAAATAAATGAATCTTAAAAAAAAAAATCCAATTAGAGAACTACAGCCGATGCTCATTAGTCATTGAAGCTATGTTCTCTAAAGTCACCATTAACACTGAATTAGAGATACTATACTGACACATTGCCCTGGAGAAAATACAGGGTTATGTTCCTCTGGTCACATTTTCTTCAACCAGTGAATGCATAAACTTATTTTATGTGTGTCTCTCTTTAAAGACACCTTCTTTAGTATATACGGTTGATTCATTAACTAGAATTCATGGCCAACAGGGCTCCAACTCATGCCTGAACGAAGCTTACCTAGCATGCGTATTTTCTCCATCAGGCACATCACAGCCTTCCTGCTTGGGGTGGCAGGGAGGGGGGAGTAAAATCACCAACACAAAACCAACAAAAATGTGAAAATGTGGCATTAAGTGGACTATGAAGAAATGCTTGTTTATAATATGAGGTCTGAGACAAGAAGAGAATGTCATTTTTCTAACCTCAGCTGGGAAGATGTGCAGGGGGAGGCTCCAGTGGTTTGTGGCTCGCGCAGGTCTGTGAATGACAGTGAAGGCATCTGGAGCACTGATTTGGGGTTTACAAATACCTGTACTTTAGCCAGGAGGCAAATTCGCAAACAGGGCATTCATGAATAGTGAGGCTTAGCTGTAAATGTGGAGCCCCTCAGGTGGGTCTCTTGGCTACTTAGCTAAATGGTAGCTGTTCTTCAATGCCCAACTTGAGGGACAGATGAAACTGTTCTGTATGAAGGAGTGAATGGTATTCTTTCTTTTTAACTTTTTAAAAGATATATTTATTATTCTGAGAGAAACAGAGAGAAAGAGAGCAGGAGGGAGGGGTGGGGGCAGAGGGAGAGGAGATATCCAAGCAGACTCCACACTGAGCCCAGAGCCTGACCCGGACGTTGATCTCATGGCCCTGAGGTCACAACCCGGGCTGAAACCAAGAGTCAGACCCTTAACCAACTGCACCACCCAGGCGCCCCTTTTTAAAATTTATTTTTATTTATCTATTTATTTATGGAATGAATGGTCTTAAAGCAGTGTTTTCATGTCACTGCCTTCACCGTCCTTTCTGTCCCCCTTTAGCACTTAGTCCTGCTCTGTATCTTTCTTTTAAAAAGGTTTTATTCATTTATTTGACAGAGAGAGAGAGCATAAGCAAGGGGAGCAGCAGGCAGAGGGAGAGGGAGAAGCAGCTACCCCCCCCCCAGCAGGAAGCCAGACATGGGGCTCAATCCCAGGATCCCAGGATCATGACCTGAGCCAAAGGCAGATGCCTAACTGATTGAGCCACCCAGGCGTCCCTATATTATTTCTTACTGGAGTTTATATCTATGTCTCACTAGATTGGGAATTCTTTGAGGGCAGACACTATAACTTCTATCTCCTTCAGACTGCCTCCTTCTAGGTATTTACTAGATACTAAATGAATACTTGCCTAATGTTTGAATTCATGTAATTAAGAAGAATCATGTAGGGCCATTTGGAGCCATTAAATTTGTTAGTTCCCGATTTCCGATAATCAGAAAGTCCATGTTGTTCAAATTAGATTCGTTTTAATATTTTCCCCAAATCAGAAATACTTTGTAAGTGGTCTCTAAAGCAGTGGCTTTTCATTGGAGTGGGGGTATAGCCAATGAGGTGCAGGGTTATCATAATTACGACTGAGACCTAATGGTAAGATTTATCTTAATAACATTGCCCCGATTTTATGGGCTTAAAACAACAAAAATGTTCATTATGGTAGCAGAATTTCCATATATGAAAGACCTTCCCAGGAAAGGTAGTCATTCTGTTTATATCCTAGAAGGACCCAGTCTTTAAGTGCTTAAACATCAGATATCCTTGTAGACTTCTTTCAAAGTATATTCACATCTGTCTATATAAATGGTTTTTGAAGTGTTTTGTCTTTTTTTGGGGGGGGGGGGGACAAGGTTTTAATACCAAGTTCACCTGTTTACAAACAACCTGCATAAGGAAGGGCTGCATCAAAATAAGTATAAACTAGCGCCAATTAGCATACTATCAGTTGGGTCTCTAAGTGCTAAATGAGTGAAATAAAAGGGGTTGAGTGAGGTCAATCCTGGAAGATGTTTGAAATGAGTTTTCAGGAAGAGAGGGTAAAAGCCGGAAAAAGAAGCAGGGGTGCTGGGCTTCTGTCCCCGGCTCAATCCTGCGGAGTGGGGTGGAGCGGGGAGGGGAATGGCGCAGGCCCTCAGGCTGAGCCGGGCTCCCCTCCAGAGTCAATGATCCTGCTGGGCTCCGTGGAGCGGTCAGAGCTGCAGGCCCTCCTTCAGCGCCACCTGTGCCCCGAGCGGAGGTTGCGGGCGGCCCAGGACATGGCCAGGAAGCTGTCTGAGCTGCCCTTTGACGGAAAGCCTCGGCCAGCGGGCAAGGGACACCAAGGCATCTCACCCGAGGGCCGGAGGGAGTCCTTTGCCTTTGTGGATGAGGATGAAGACGAGGACCTCTCTGGGAAGCCCCAGGTGACCAGGCAGGGACGGGCCGGCGGAGCAGGACAGACTGGGGCAAAGGGGAAGGAGGAGGCGGGAGACGGGAAGCTGGTCACTGAGAAAGTCAGAGACCAGTGCCCCGGGGGCCAGGAACTGAAGGAGATCCGGTTGCAGATGATGGTACCAATGAGAACTCAAAGGGATACAGGAATTCTGGACGGGTGAATGGATGTAGAGAGAATTCCCGGGACACCGGCTGATAAAAGGCAGGAAAGCGCTAGGCAGCCTCTTCCCCAGGACTGAGAATTTTTACTGTTCCTTACAGCTGCTTCCTCTCCCTCCTCCTCACCCCTTTCCTACTGCCCCACTCTCCCCCGACGAGTCCAATGGGCCCCTGCCCAGCCACAAACAGCAGCTAGAAGCACCGCAGCCGGCAGGTGAAGATTCTCCCAGCATGCACCCTCACTCATGCCTTGTGGGTTCTCTCTGGGCTCTCCTTCACCCAAGGGCTGCTACTCTAAAGAGGGATGAGAGCACGGGTGGGCGGGAAGGGAGTCCTAATCACTGAGTCTCCATATTACTGCCCCAAAGGGGTGGGGACAAGGGCTGATTTGGGGGGGTAGGACAGAAGGTGTCTATGGAGGTGAGGCATATATGGGAAGAACACGCTGTGTGTGGCAAAGTGTCAGGGGCCCCTCCAGAGCCCCTGCACCCCGCCCCCCCCCCCGCCATTTCCTCCCAGGACAGATACGACTTTGTTTCCATTTCCATCCGCTCGCCACTCCTCTCAGGTCAAAGACCCTCTGTCTTTCGGTCCCTGCTGCGCTGCTTGCTGGGCAGACCTCGCCCCACGAAGAAGAAAACAACCCAGGTGAGAGCAGATGTGCTGTGGAGGGTGAACAGGGAGAGGGGCATGCATCTGAGGACTGAGAAACCCGTGGTGCTTAAGTCAGAGGGGAGGAGGTCCCAGCACGGAAAAGTTTCATCACAGGGTGGGAATGATGAGCAGGGGCATCCGTGGCCCTAGCCTGTGAGGTCTGCTAACGGCCGGGGAGACCACAGCTGCCGTGTGGACAAAAGGGAGAGAACTCAGACCTGTGGCTTTCTTCTCTAGGAGCCAGCGGATTTCGTGGACAACATGTCACCTGAAGAGGTAAGAGAAACAGCCACCCAGGGTGGATTTTTCTGTCTGATGAAGACATTGCTCATTTGCTTCATTGTGTTGTAAGAGTAAGATGCGAGTCCAGGCCAGGAAGCACTTCGAGACATTGGGAATAAGATGATTATGGAGAGAGGGACGGGCCCATTGCTCAGAGGTGGGGGAAACATGGTGGTGGTCTCAGAGGGGATCAGAAGAGAAAGGTTGTGAGCCTCCACATGTAGATGGGACCAGAGTGCTAAGATGAGCCTTAGCTCTTTTAGACATTAGGGGATGTCCTGGACCAGGCGGAGGCTGTGCAGGAAGGATGAGCTTCACCTGAAGTAAGATGGCACCAGGCAGCCAGCGGTTATGCGTACCAATGTGGAAGAGCAGCATGGAAACTAAGATGGTCAGTGCCTGCTGGAGGTTACGAAGTCTACTGGGCAGGGCCCCGAGACCGTGGACAACTAGGAAATGCCAGGAAGTGAGACTGGAAAGAACAGAAAACGGAGGGCAAATATTGACAGCGGTGTCTCATTGATTGGGACAAACACCTATTTCCTAAAAAAGGTAGTTACTGAGTCCGGGAGAGAGAAAATCCAGCCCCGAATGGACTTGGTTGTGAGGAGTGGACAGACGTGGAGCAGTGATTTGGAGGAGACCGCAGGGCGGTCCTGATCCTGATCTCAGTCCCGAAGGGAACAGACCCCGGGGGTTCCAGAGAAACAAGAGTCCATTAGCAGCCATTCCATTTGGTAAAAGAATGCAGGCCCCCTGTGGAGGCTGAAAAAGCAAAGCTTTAAAAGTATGTAGATGACAAAGAACCCAGGCCGGTATTATTTTAAAATAGACATCTCATTGGTTGTCCAGTCTAAATGGAGGAGGAGAGGGGAGTCGTAGGAGAGAAGGGAAGTGGTGGATCTTCTCCCCTTGTCACCCCTCAAAACACACTCCCTTCCGGTCACTGCTTAATGGAAAGATCGATGAGCACAGAGGACAAAGAACAGCTCTTGTTTCTGCCCCCAAGCAGGAATCAGATGGGTCATAACTATGGTTGAGGAGGGCCTTGCTCAATTACTAACCCAATAATTACACTCTTTAAAAAAGTGCACCAAAAAAAATAAATAAATAAATAAATAAATAAATAAAATAAAATAAATAAATAAAAATAAAAAAGTGCACCAGAGGGAGAGCCAGCTAGTTGACCAGTGAGGCTATTTCATGACCCCTGGAAATAAAGTGCAACCAGGGGTAAAAACAGAGCATACATTTTTTGCTTATGTCTTTCCAAAAGAAAATTTAGAGTATCTAAGCTCCCATGTCACCCACTGGGACATTCTAGAGGGATAAGATCCCATAGGAGTAAAAATTCAGGATGTTTTGAACGTGGTTTTCAGACGAGATCGAGGGGGCACCTTTGGCAAGATCCCGGTGACGCCCGCAGGAAGAGCTCAATTACACGTCACCAGAAGTCTTGTTTTCTTCTGCTCCTCTGTTAGGAGCACACACAGTCAGGGCTCCGGTTTGGTACTGGGGCTGAGCCTTTGCAAGTAGTCATGCCAGACCCAGAAGCAGACGTGCCCCACCCCTTGGACACAAGCTGGGGGTTCCTGGAACAGGATCGACAGCCAAGGTCGGAAGCCCAACTCCACCTCTGTGTCGTCTTGGGCAGACTAACTTACGCACTCTGTACCTCTGTCTCCTCGTCTGTAAGAGGGAGATAATGATAGGCTGTTGGAGATGATTCCCAGCACCCCGGCGTTGGCAAGGGTCCTACAAATAAATCATGTCTACAGCACACCTGCTGAGTGGTCATCCATCCTGGTGCTGTGAGGGCCAGCCAGACCCGGTGTGAACCTTCAGCCAGGGAGGGCGAGCTTTAGACAAGGTGGGACCAGGAAGGGGCAGATGGGGACTCCACACTGGGTACCAGAGCTAGGAGGCGCCCTTCAGAGAACGTCTCTGAAGCTTGAGACGTGCGGATTTGGACCTTAGGAAAATAAAGTAGGACAGTATTCAGAGGCCACTGACTGAAAAGAGATTTCAAGGAATTTTAGATTCAGTTATGAAAGTGAAAGCTCTCCTGGATTATTTGGAATCTTGGGGATTTCGGCATGGATCTCTAAAATCAAGAGGAGGTTAAGGCCTTCAGGCCTTCATGCTTCTGTCATGAACGAAACAAAAATGGTTTTGCTCAAGCCAGCTAAGTGCCACGTGATTCAGTACAGCTCTTCCAACCCAACCGATCATTGCTACGACCTGTAAGAGGCAAATGTGCTAGATTCTGCACAACATGCAGGGGTCAACCCCACATAACACTCTGAAGGGGTTACATCCTCACCTCTGTCCTGTAGGCAGAGGTAAGACAAACACCAATAAGAGATTGAGCAAAATCTATGTCATTTCTGAAAAGGAGAGACCAGCAGAGTACGGGAGGGATAGAAAAATTGTGCTGCTGGGAGCGTCGGGAGAACAGTGTGCGAGCGGGGTGGCGGCAATAAGGGCAATAAGGGGAATCCAGAAGAGCAAATGCAGATTTGGGAAGCCTGCCTGGTTTCACTGAGCAATGGGCATTGCGGGAGTGGTGGAAAATAAGACTGGGCAGATGGGTTGGAGATGACAAGTGTTCAGGGCCCCAGGGGGTGTTGGGGCTGGGGGACAGGAAGACAAGGGCGCTGCTCTAAGTGCCTGAGGGTGAAGGTGATGTGGGGCCTGGTGAGGCAGGAGAGGGTGCCAGGCCCTGGGAAGAAGGGAGGATGTCTTGTGATCTGGAGGATCTGTGACAGTTCATTGCATATTTCAGGGTCTGGGCTGGGGCTAGGAGGGCTGTTTGGGGTCAAGCTGCAGGTCTGCGGTTGGCGGGGGCTCCGCAATATTGAGTGACTGCCCTACTCTGCCCGACAGATTGAGGCCTGGGAGCAGGAACAGCTGAGCCAGCCTGTCTGTTTTGACCACTGCTGCATTGACCAATCTCCCTTCCAGCTGGTGGAGCAGACGTCCCTGCACAAGGCAAGTCCCTGCCCCCTGACTGCTCAGGGCTGCCGAGGGCAGGGGGCATCTGGGGTGGACATGAGCTGATGTACTGCTCTTTCCCTGCAGACCCACACGCTGTTCTCGCTCCTTGGCCTCCACCTTGCTTATGTGACCAGCATGGGGAAGCTCAGGGGCGTGCTGGCATTGGAAGAGGTAAAGGTGACAGGTCCCATTTGAGCAGCAGGAGGAAGCGTGGACACAGGATAAGGGTGTGGGTGTGGGGAGGGGATGGTTTAACCTCCGGGAGGTCCCCCAGATTTCCTGCTCTATTTCTGAGGCGGAGATTGGAGAGGATGGGGGGATCAAGTGGCAGGTGGAGAGGAATGTCCCCAGGACCCTCCGTGGGCTGGGGGTTTGGATGAGGACCCCAGGCATGAGTCACAATTTCATGTGTGTGCTCTGGGAGAGACAGGAAGTGGCTGAAGGATGCCTGAGGGTCAGTGGGAAGGGGCCTTGTCAGAGGAGCTTGAGATCCCCAGGTCCACAGATGTGTCCCCCCCCCAGGCCCCTTTCTGTGCCGCTCCATGTCTTTCCCACTCCTCGTCCTTGTAGGAATCTGTCCTTCCCTCGCACCCGTTTGTCTCACCCTGTCCCATCCTCTGTCTCTTCCCAATTGTGTGCCCCTTTTCCCTCTCCCCGCCAGCTGCAGAAGGCCATTGAAGGGCACACCAAGTCTGGGGTGCAGCTCCGCCCTCCCCTCGCCAGCTTCCGGAACACGACTTCCACCCGGAAGAGCCCCGGCTGCCCGCCCCCTCCCACAGAGGCCTGGAGCCTTCCTGAGGACGGAGCTGGGGCTGCTGGGGCAGGTGACGGGGCTCCCGCCTCCCCAGAGACCCCCGTGCCCTCCGCCTCAGCAGAGCCCCGTCTCTGCGCCGTCCTGGACAAGGCAGAGGGCGAGCTGGAGGAGCTGGGGCTGGCAGAGAGCCCAGGGCTGGAAGAGGGGCTGGCCGACATCCTGCAGGGCCCCAGCCTGCGATCCACTGATGAGGAGGATGAGGACGAGCTGGCCCTTTGACCACCTCCAGGACCTCCTCTTAAAGACCGTCCAGAGGCCCAGGCCGGAGGCCGGATTTGTGTGGGGGCGGGAGGCGCGTCCTGAAGTTGGAGAGATCACACCAACATCCTGGCGCCTCCTGGGAATTTTAAAATGCGATAGTGATAGTCTTAGAAGAGGGTTGCAATTTGGGCAGAGAGAGTAGCCTCGGTCAGCTATTTAGGCTCTGTCCAGACGGGCAGGGGGTTCTAACCCCGGTGAAGGGCCTGATATTCCATGGGGCGTCCTGAGCCGTCCTGGTGCGTGGGTGGGAAATACCCTGCCTCTCTCGGCCTCCCCTCAGTCCCCTGCAGTCCCCTGGTGTCTTGTCCCAACACCTCCCCGGCTTTGCCCCTGTGTCTGCCAGGCTCCACAGGGGGAGGCCCACAATGGCTGTGACCTTCAGAGGAGAGGGCAGCACCTCGTGGCCTCGCAGAGTGACAGCCCGGAATACGCCGGCACATCATTCACACGCTCTCTCACAGCCCCCCACCCCGCTCCCCTGCTTGCTCACATCCGCTGCCTGGAATTTGCCTCCCCACTCCATCCTGGCTCCCACTACCTGGGGGCAAGGGCCCTCACTAGAGCGGTGACCGGCCAGGCCCATCGCCGCCCCCTCCTCGCCCCGGATGTAAGCAGTGCGGTGTGGATAAAGGAGCAGCAGCTCTGTGCAGAGAGCAGGTGTCTTGCTGCCGACCGCGCAGGCCTCCTTCAGGCACAAACCCGTCCTGTCTCACACCAACCAGCTTCCTCACGCTCCAGTTTCCAGGTCACCCCCTGGGAACGACACCCCGCTGCCCCCTGTCCTCACTGACCTCTCCTGCCCGAGGGTCCACTGTGCCCTCCAGCTGCTGTGGTTGTGGCTTCTCCTGCCAAGAACCAAGGCTCAGGGCAGCCAGGTCCCTGGGGCACTCAGACACCAGCCCCTCTGAGACTAGTTCTTTGTGTCCCTCTTTTAGCGGTGGTGGGGAGACGGGGGTTCACTGTCAAGATGGCAGACCTCTTTGATGTTTGAAGTCAGAGCCTTATCCTCCCCACGTCAGCCACAGGGGGCCGTGCCGGCAGCCCGTCTTCCCTGTGAAGCGGTCCTGGGTGCCCGGAGCCTCCAGCAGCCCTGGCTTCCACGCCCAAGGCCTCTTCCCTCCCTCCCTTCTTTTGGTCCCTATCTAGTTCTGCAGCTGTACCCCCTTTCCGACATTCTCCTCCTTCCCCTCCCCTGTGCCCACTCTCCATCATCCCCCAAAGAAGACACTCATAGTCAGAGGTGCCACCACATTCTGTTTAGTGCCATTGAACACAGCCTGTAGCCCTCTCCAACAGGATGTCCCTTCCACCCCCCCCCCAGGCCCAGAGAGGGTGCAGCCTGGGCAGGGGGGCTGGCAGTGGGCCTTGGAGCCCGTGCCCATGTGTATATAATCTATAATATTTATATATATTTATATATAATTCTCTCTGTAATATATGTCATAGAATCTCTCTTGGGCCTGGGGTGGGAATGTCACATTAAGAAAACATGCTAAGACTGGCCATAAAAATGGGTATTTCCCAGACCTGGAAGACAGAGTAGGGGGTGTGGAGGCGGGGGCAAAGAGAAGGTCATACACTCATTCACCAAGAGCCCCCACCCGCTCAGCACAAGGGTAAGAAGGTAGGCGTGGGGGAAGGGGGGGCAGTGGAAGGGGAAGAATGGGAGATTTGGATTTTTCTTTAATAAAGTGATTTGAAAATGAAAGTACACCCCCCCCCCACCCACCCAACCAAAGGAAAATCATTTAGCAAGAGCAGTTTCATTCACAAGAATATAAAAACAGCCCTGTTCCGGGACTGTTGGAAAACGTGCTGCACAGCCTTTAACCCCAAGGGAAAAGCAACCCTCCCCTACCCCACCCCTGACAGCCTCTTCCTAGACATGCCCCTCCCCTCCCCCTAGAATAGGCTATAAGCAAACCCCATGCACCCCGCCCCCAGCACCAGAGAGGCAGCTGCTCCCTCCAGAAGAGTCCTAAGAGGGTCCCAGGCCAGCTCCTTGGCTCTTCTCCCTCTTCAGAGTGGAAAATGCAGGCCCCCACCTGACCTCTGGTCTGCGAGTCCCCTCCATGTATAAAGTCTCCTAGATGCCCTCACAGTTTCAGCCACTGTTGCGGGGACCGTTTGGCTTCCTCCGGGGAGGGAGGGAGGGAGGGAGGCAGGCAAGAATGCTGGCTGCTTTGGTCCACCTTTCCCAACTCCACAGGCCCTGAGCAAGAACGAACTGTAACGAATGAACCCGCTGGACTGTGTGTCCACCGTGGTCTGGGGGCAGAGCGCAGGCAAAAAGGTGGGGGGGGGGACTAAGCAAAAAGATGGTGCATTGAGACAGCAGGTGGCACGAGGCGAGGAAACAGAACCGTGAACATGCAAAAGCCCAAGGTCCCATGGCAGGCGGGCAGGAGTCTCGAGCGAGGGCCAGCAGCCAGCGAGGGCATGCTGGGCCACCTCCCACAGCTGCTCGCTGCAAGGTCCTGCTGCCTCCTGAGTCAGGTCACGTCACCAAACACGACAGAGGTCCTCTGTTGAGATGGCTGTGGATAAGGTGACTTCGCCTACCCATGCTCACCATGCGCACTCCTGAGTCCTCCAAGGACCCACCCCGGGAAAGCCATTGTCCCCCTCCTCTGGAGGACACGGGACCCTGGCCTCAGCTGCAGTGCAGGAGCACATGTGAATGAAAGTGTGAACTCGGTTGGGGGGGGCGGTCATAGATGGACAGAAACACCCCAACTCTCAACCTCCTCATTCCAGAAAAATAGGTCTGGGGCGTGGGGTGGGGTGGACAATTCTGTCCAGGGTCTGGGAGAGGGTGACAGTGCTCCCTTCCCAGCAGAGGGTAAAGTGATAGGAGCCCTGAAGTGTGGGTAGGACACAAGGCCTTGGAGCTGGAGCCTTAGTCGGGCACGAGGAAGGAGGGAAGGCAACAATGAAGCTCTGAGATTCTCTCTTCTACCCCGTCTCCCTGTGCCCCGGCACTGGGAAGGGGCAGTGCGGCAGCCAGCTCTGCAGCGGTGGTGTCGCTCGCTCTCCCCCGTCCCCTCCTGTCAGGATCTGTCCCAGAAGTGCTACGCGGCAGTCCCCACCACAGCGGAAACGGGGCGTGAGAGGGCAGGCCGTTGCAGAGGCGTAGGCCTCAGCGTAACCTATGCTGGAAGGAAGAATGCGCTGATTCTCCTCTCTTCCTCCACAGGAGGCCCGGGGAGGGAGGGAGAACACCTGGGAGGCCCTCTTTGGAGTCTTGGGAGGAGCTGAAGAAGAGGCAAAGGAACCGAGTGCCCACACTGCCCCTCAGCAAACAGCCCACCCTGGCCGGGGCCTGACAGCACCGGACTCCTCCCTCCACCCCGCTCAACCCTGAGTCCCCAAGAAGTTATAAAAATGTAGAAAAGGCAAAGAGAAAAGTGTAAACAGCTCCAGAGAATTAGAGGGTGGATGGAGGGAGACACAGCCCTCATGCTTCCCCGTTTGGCCAGGACACCTACATTCTGTGTCACCCCCTCAGGGCCAGGGCTCCCAGAGCAGGAGACAGAAGAAGGCAGAAGAGGGAAGCAAGAGCTGGGGCAGCCAGCCCCGGCTGGGCCCTTTCCCAGATCCCTGGATCCTCCTTCCGGACAAGGGAATAGTCAAAATCTCGGAACAGGCGGCCATGTTTGTTCTGGGTCTCATCAGTGACTTTCTGATCTCTGAGCAGGCCCGGGTCTAAAGAATCACGTTTGTGTCCCTGTGCATCCCAGCTGCCACATCCACCTCCCCCATGACTCCTGATCTCAGAAGCCAATTTCTCGCTGAGCTCACATGACTTTAGGTGGCTTCCCCTGCGCCCGTCGAGCCATACCGATAGCCCCTGAGGTCTGTTCCTCATAGTGGGGATGAGTTGGGGCCACAGCCAGAGAAAACACAGAGTCGGGAAAAGCGGGAGTGACACGGAGAAAGGAGACATTCCCACAGCCACAGTCAAGGCGCCTGGAAGACGAATCAGAGAGTGAAGAACTAAGGTCCAGTCGACGGCCACACGCTGCTCTGTGCTCCTGCCCACAGGAGAAACACTGGAGCTTCAGACAGACCCGGAAGCCTGCAGCCAAGCAAAGTTCACAGCCACCCGGCTGTCTGGGCCTCAGTTCCCGGACCTGGGGTTTCTACAGTATAAACCTGGTTAAATTCCCATCCTGGCTCCCCATTTTCCTGGCGGGGACTGGCAACTCCTGGGTCCCTCATGGTCTTCTGCCCGGGTTTCAGCTGTACTGCTGGGGGGAGGGAGGGTATTGTTGCAGCCATGCCCCTCAGGTGGGAGTGGAAGGCTGGGCACGGAGTGGGAGGAAGCTAGTTGTTAGCCTCGCCCTCCTCCTCATCGAAGGATTGCACACCTGAGGATGTGACATCAGACACTTTCCGGCTGAGAGCAGTGGACATCTCAGGATCTTCTCGTGGGGAAAGTGACTCCAGGTCCCGGCATCCTGCATCGTCTTCCTCCTCGGGGGCCAGTGGCCTCTTCTCCTCCTCAGCAGGGCCCCTTGCCAGGTCCACTGCCCCCACCTCCGGAGCCCAGTCCGTGTCTGACCCCAGCAAAGGTGGGGGCTCCTGAGCAGAGCATCCGCAAGCAGGCTGGGACGGCCCCATTTCATGCAAGCTGGGCTGTGAGTCATCAAATGCAGGGCCAAGATAGGATCCTGTGGCCGGAGAGGCAATGAGGGACTGGTCGCTGGCTTCCCAGGCATCCGACGACCCCAGACAGTACATGCCCTGGGACACATAGGAGTGAGGCCATCCATCCATGGGGGCTTGAGCAAGGGCATCTGCCAAGAGAATCAGGGAAGTCAGCACGGTTACAGAACATCAAAGGCGGCAGCAACAGCCCGGAGAACTGGGGACGGAGGGCCACAGAGCAAGGAGGACAGTAAGAAAGCTGAGATGAAGAGAAACACACGGGGAATGGAGGTAGCCCGGTAAAGCTGGGGAGGCCTCAGAGGAACCGCCCCTCACCTTGACTCTCCATCAGCTCCTGGTAGTTGTCACTGTAGTCGCAGCCCGGTGGCTCCTGGGTGCAGTTGACACTCACGTCCTCCCCGTCCATGGAAGACCAAGCCATGAGTGTGGCCTCGGAGATGGCAAACTGCTCCATGACACCTGCAGGAGAAGACCTAGTTGGCACAGGACGCCTCCGGGGACCCTTAGACGCACGCACGGGGAAGGGCGACGTCGGGGCGGCACTGTCCAGCAGAAATACGATGCAAGCCATTTGTGCAATTTAAAATCTTCTCACAGTCATATTTAAAAAAATGTAAAAGAAACAGGTGAAACTAATTTTTATAATGTGTCTTACTTAGCCCAATATATACTTTGGTTTATCTTTCAACACGTAATCTATATAAAATTATTAATGAGATATTTTACGTTATCTTATTCATACAGGTCTTTGAAATCCTGTCGGTATTTTACACGGACGGTGCGTCTCCATTCAGAGGAGCCACATTTCAACTTCAAGTTCAAGCGGCTACTGTATGGGACAGCACAGACTAACCCCCACACAAGGCAAAACGGTGTGGGACTTCCCAGGTCAGGTTAAGAATTCTTGGCGGAGAGAGTTGAGGGGTCTTCTGGTGAGATAGCCAAAGGGATTAAAATGAGGAATTTCCAGAAGTTTCTCTTTGGACGGTTTTAAGAATGTTAGCTGGTACTAGGTCGTCAAAGACAGAGGAATCTAAATGAGAGGGCTGGATTTCAACAGAGAATCCCCAAGGGAGCACCATGGCCTTGTAGGTCCACAGTGGTATCAAGAGGAAAGTTCCAGTGTTTGGAAGGAGAAGGGAGGGACGGGACAGACCATGGAGGCTGGGTAGACCTGGGGGCCCCCATTGTGGTCAAAGCTGGTTGAAGCTTACATTGCCAATTGCCCTAAACTACCCCCTACCCACTACACGTTTGTCTCCGCTTCCCACTGATAGTTCTTCCACCATTCACATCACCACAACATAGACATACCTCCCTTCTCTTCCGGATCTAACATTCTTCCCAGGTGTCTTACTGGGACGTGCTACAGGGGTTTGGCCACTGCGGCAGGCATGCCATATGCCTGTCTCATAGAGATTCCACTGTTCTGGACCGAAACCCCTTCTGTAATACCACCGTCTCACCACCCAGGTCCCTTGATCTAGTGGTTGTCACAAGCAATGAGCCACGTAAGCGAATCCACTATTGCAACGTGCTGAGGGACAAAGTGTAGAGGGGATTTCTCAAGAGACATGGGTAGAAGGGGTGCCTTTCAGAGTTCAAGGCCCCTGCCTTTATGTCCTGTACAGATAGTGCTGCCATGTAGGAGAGAAGGCATCTGGTAACAGGTGGACCCGCAGTTCCGTGTAATTCTCTTTAATTTCTGAGATGATAATGAAAAGAAGTTTGAGGGCACTTACCCGAATCAATCAAAGTACTTGAAATCAGAGCTGATTGGGACATAATGCCTTATCGTCATCACAGGGATAGAGCCAATCCTGCCATTGCGGATCAGGCTGGAAGGTCAGTCTCTGGCCATCCCGAAAATGGGTCTCCTGAGGGTCCGCGGAATAAGTACCTGCTAGGAAACGTGCCTCCTTCTCGCCATCGCTGAGGTCCGAGTAGGCGTCGGTATCCCTGCGCACTGCCTCGTGGCTATGTTGCGGCTGAATGGCTGGCGCCTTCCCCCAGCCCTGCCACTCAATCATGTGGGCCACCCGGCCTTGCCCCATGGCTGTGGGCTTCGTCACATGGTCCTTCATGCTGCGAGAAATCCCTGAGGGGCCAGACATTCCCCACATCCTCCAGAATAGCACCCGCTACCGATACAAGATCCACCCCACGGCCCCACCCAAGTCCCACGGGACTCCATCCAATGGGGGAGCTCCATATGAGGGGCAGCCTGGACAGGAGGGCTTGACAGCAAGGGCAAACAGGTCAGGGGTAGGGGTCTTCTTTAGGCCTCGAGGAGCAAGGAGACTGAGACCAGGAGCGTGTAGGGCATCTCCTGTCTGGGCGCATCCCCGGGTGGGGAGTCTCACCTGAGAAGGATGACTTTGCCAGGGCCCCAATGCCGTAGGCGTTAGAGTTTCGCTTAAGCTTCGGAAGAATGGAAGTGGTGTCCTCCATGGAGAGCTGGGGGAGGGAATGTGGGAGGAGGGGCAGAGATGAGTTCAGGGTTTCCAGGAGGAAGGGTCTGAGCTAGTGCAGGTGAAAGGGAACCATTATGCCCAGGAGTCCTGAGGTCACTTATGCCACAACTGCCCTTGAAAATATGGGGGATGGGTAGGGAATGTGAGGGCTCATGGTGCCTGCTGGCATCCGGGAGCCCTGTGTTCTGTGGCAGGTCAAAGGGAGAATAGAAGGGAGAGGAGCTAGGGTGCGCCGGGGAGGCAGGGGGAAGCTGCACTCACATTGATGCCGTCCCAGGAGAAGTCAGTCCGGGTTTGCTGTGAGGAGAGAGCAAAGGCAGCGGGGGGTCGCGGGCATGCCCAGGAATGCAAATAGCCCCCACCCCACCCCCAGCACCGGGACTCCCGGGAGGGTGTGAAGTAGAGAGGTTTTTCCCCAGCTTAACTCAGGAGCTCAGGATTAGGAGCTCAGTGTGGAACATTTGGCCTGTGTTTTGAGGAAAGTAGGAGAAATGTTCTGTGAAAGTGTCAGTCGGAAGGAGCGTTTGGGCTGTTCTCTTGGAATTTAGGAAGATAATTCAAGGATCAGGCAGCTGGGAGGCTTTGTTCATGAGGGTTTCTGGGGTCTTTTAAAAGTCCTTCGGTTGGGGGCGCCTGGGGGGCTCAGTTGGTTAAGCGTCTGCCTTCTGCTCGGGTCATGATCTTGAGGTCCTGGGATGGAGACCCACATGGGGCGGGGGGGGGGGGGGGGGGCCCCCCCCGGTGGGGAGCCTGCTTCTCCCTCTGCCTCCGTCCCCCCCTTTGCTCACTCTCCCTCTCTCTCTCTCCCAAATAAATAAAATCTTAAAAAAAATAAAATAAAACTCCTTTGGCTGGGGGGCAGCGGGGCATGGGGCCTCACCTCGGTGGATGGCCGATGGAGGGTGCTCCCATGCAGCGAGCTGGTGCTGTCCATGTGGATCTGGTCGACATCCTTCAGGCCCTTCCAGTCCACTGCAATCACCTCATTCCCTGAAGTGGACACAGGCTCACTAGTTGCTCCACCTTCAACGCCCCCCCCCCCCCTCCGCCCCCCAAGGCCCCCCCAGGGTCGCGGAGTGCTGTGGTCACCCAGGGGCAGTCTCTCCAGACTCCTCCCTTCCCTCCAGCTCCCACTCCTTCTGATGGCACATTCCCTTTCCCATTCCTACTCTCCCCTAATTTTTGGTAGGACAAACCGTAATGCTGAGCCAAAATATTCCCTTTGAGTGCACCCAAGAATAGCACATTCAGAGAAAGTGTTATATGGCCTTATTTGTTGTTGTTGAAATGGAGGGGTCAGTGGTTGGGTTTTACCAGGAAAACAGTTCTGTTGTCTGTCCTGAGGAATCTTTGAGGGTTTCTGTATGGGAGTATACGGGAGCTATGCCTTTCATCCTTTCTGTTCCCACAAATAAGGGCAGAACTTCTTTAGGGCTAAGCTTCTCTATATGTGGGCTTTATGGTTTGTATCTTGGAGCTGGTGATCTGTCTGACGGGAAGGAGATTTGGCGGGGATAGAGGCAGGAGTTGGGGGCGTTCACCCAGAAATGGGGAGAGCAGAGAAAGTAAAAACTGAGATGCGATCATTTCCCCTGACTGTTGGGAGACAAGTGATGGATGGAAGAGGAGCAAAGGGGCACAAGGGGAGAAGAGAAGGGGACTTTTAAAAATAGGAACTAAAAGAAAGGCATTCAAGTCATGGAGAAGGCAAAAGACAATGGATTGTCTTTTGGACAGGATTTGAGGGCTGACTGGGGGGCTGGAGGGCAGAGGAGGATGGGAATTGTTCAGGTGAGGCCAGATCTTGGGGCCCTGGGTAGATGCTGGCAAGCAGGCAGGGTGGTGCCTCTCCTGGGAGGTTGGGGAAGGAGCCCTTGGACCGTTGGAAAGGGACTCAAGCATCAGATGACTGTGGAACCATCTGACCTTAGAGATCTTCCTGCGCACGGAGTTTTGTGATTCTGAATTTAGGGTTAGGGGTCCATGCTTCAGAAGGGGTGACGTGAACGGGGTCTTGAGCATGGGGAGGCATTCAGCACGCATCCACACAGCTAGTGCAGAAGGATGGTGATTAATGGGTGGGAAGGAGGTAGGACCCCTCCTAAATGAGCCCCTCTCCCTTGGGGCTACCGGGGAGTGATGTGCTGTGGCTGGCAGGGAAGAGGAAATATGGACCCCTGGGCGTAGAGAGCAGGGAGAGGGTAGACAGAGGAGAGGAGGGATGAGGAGGGCAGAGCAGGAGAGAGGGGAGGGGGAGGTGGCCTTTGTAGAGGAGGGAGAGCTGAGTCAGAGCCCTGGGGGGCAGGGAGGGGGAGAGAGAGAACCCTAGGAAGAGGTGAAAGCAGAGGAGAGGGGTATCCATGGAAATAAATCGGGTCTCAGAGAAATCAGGCTTCCGGAGAGTGAGTTTGTTTGTAATAATAATACGAATTATTCTCTCAGCCTGAGGTCACTGGATCGTGTAGGCGGGAGAAATTGCGAGTTGGAATGGGAAAAATTGGGGGGTTTGGGAGAGGGTTGGACTAATTCGTGGAGCTGTGAGCGTGGAGTCGGTGCGTGGGGCGGGGGGTACGGGGTGGAAGCAAGGCAAAGGCTGAGGGGAGAGACGACTTAGGAGGCGCCTGTGCCCGCTCCCAGTCCAAGGTAAATAAAGAGGCGGCCCCGCCCCGCCAGCCCCCGCCGACAGGTGCAGGTCCCGGTTCGCCGGGCCGGCCGGCCCCACCCTCCTGGGAGCGGGCTCCCGACCCCTGTCGGTCCCTCTAAACCCCCCGCCTCCTCCCCGCGCCCCGCGGCCCTTCCCTCCAGCGCAGCCCAGCCCGGCCCCATTTTCTCCCGGCGTGGACCCAGTTCCCCTCCCCGAGGCACCGAGCGCATCCCGCCCCCGCCCCGGAGGGAAGATGCACGTGAACAAAGCGAATCGGGGGAGGCAGGAACGACAGAAAAAGGCAACAAGAGAGAGGGAAAGAGGTGGGAGCAAAATACCCAACCCAGAAGGAGGCGGGGGGCGGGGGGCCGAGGCGGAGGCCGGGGGTCCTTGGAAGGGGGCTGCCCCAGAAATGGAGGAGGAGAGAGAGGCGCCGGGGAAGGCAGGGTCGAGGTGGATGGCCTGGAGGTGGAGGGCGCAGGGACGCGAGAGTAGGGAGAGGAGGCTGGTGGAGAGATGATGGAGAGGGACCGCGCCGGGGGGAGGGCGGCGGAAGGAGGCTGGAGGGAGGCGAGGCAGCGGAGGAGCCGGGAGGGCGTCCGGCCCCGCAGGCGCGAGGGGAGAGCGCGGAGGAGAGCCGAGCGCGGGGAAAGTGCGGGAGCCAGGCCGGGCGGGGCGGGGGGCGCCGGGGGGCGGGGGGGGAGGGGGCCGGGGAGCGGCGCGGGCCGAGACTGCCTCCGCCCGCCCCCGCCCCGCCGCGGTACCCACCCACGGTCCGGGAGCCGATGCAGCCCATGGCTCCGGCGCCTCCGGGGCCGGGCGCTCACCGCCGCGGGGCGGGCGCCGGGGGCACCACCGGGAGCCGCGCCGCCGCCCCAGCCGCTCTGCAGCGCCGCGGCTGTCTCCGCTCGGCTCCGCTCCCCCCTCCCCTCTCCATCCCTCCCCGCGGCAGCCTCCGTCGCCGCCGCCGCCGCCGCCGCCGCCGCCGCCTGGCTCCCCCGCCCCGGCTCGGCTGGCGGCGGGCGGGGAGGGGGCGGCCTGGGGATTGGCTGCGCGCGGCGCCTCCCCGCCCCTGCCCCCGACCCCGCCGCCTAGCTCTCCTCGCGCACCTCGAGGCGCTCCACCTCCTCCAGCCCTGCCCCTGGCCCGCGCGGGGGCTCTTCGCCGGGCCCCGGCCGGGCTGGCGCCTGGGGGTGCTGGAGACCCGGAGAACGTCCCCCTTGGGTCCCCGAGCGGGGGAAAGAACCCAGCGCCCGCCCTCCGGTTCTGGTGGATGAATTTCGAGGGCCGGGGTTGGGGATGCTCAGGGAGAAAGGCGCGGGATTGGGGGTGGGTGGGGAGGGGGGTGGCGGGGGACGCGCAATAAAGCTGGGATGAAGGGCCTCGGCCGCCAAATTCCGCAAACACTTGTTTTCTTCCTGGGGCCGCATCTGGGACACAGACGCGAGCGTGATTGGATACAGCTTCGGTTGCTCCGCGTTTCCTGTGCGCTGTTTCGTCCACCCAAACATCGCGAAGTCTTTGCGAGGGGATCGTGTACTAAGCTTCCCTGTGCTGGGCGCTCGCTGGAAACTCGGGGATGGGTGTGGGGTTGGTGCAGATCACCTCCAGGACTGATTGGGGATGGGGGAGTAGAATGAGATTATTCAGTCCCAGCTAGAGTGGAATAAAAATCAGGACTCGAGGCTGGCTAGAAGGCACAGTTTTGAATTCAATTTAACTTTCTGAGTCTTGGTCTCCTCTGACAAATGACAGCATGGACGTCAGGAAGCAGTCGAGAGAGGGGAGAATTGACCCCTGGCTGGCCAGACGGGGTCAAGTAGGTACCAGGGGCCTGGTGAGTAAGAGATTGAGAGAGAGAGAGAGAGAGAGAGAGAGAAAGTGATCTACGTGGTAGGGGTCAAGTGGGCACTGTAGTACAGCAGGCAAGAAGTGAAGTCCAGAAAAGTCACACAAGAAAGGGCACGGAAACTTGTCTCAGCAGCACCTGCAAACCCAAAGTGTGAGAGAGCAGACCGGGTCAGTACCAATGACAGCAAATCCAGGGTCTGTTTGTTCCCCACCTGCTTTCTTTTCCCTCCTGAGGTTGGGCAGGGACGAGGACACCAGACCAGGCGTCCCAGTGTGGGTGTGGGTGTGTAATAGGACAAAGGACCAAGTCTCATAGATGCACCTTTTAACCGTTTAGAGTCTGAATGGGGAGCTAAACTTTACGGCGATATTTACCTTTCTTTACATTCTGTGGAATCCCAGATGAAAGATGGGAGAGAAGATGCTAATAATCTAATTGCAGATCTGGGAGATGGAATTATGGAGAGAGAACTGACCTTTGGTCTCTGTACATGACGAAAGAAATCCAATCTGCATCTATAAAACCGTGAGAGAGAAGAGGGAGTAGTCAGTAGGTCTGCTGAGATTTTAGTCATCCAGTATAATCTGTGGCAAGATCTGATACCTTATTTTGACAGTGAGAAGAATCAGCAAGTATCTTCCCCATATCTACTATTGTTGGTTATACAAAAGAAGCATCACGTGGTTTCTGCCCTCCTGGGATATATCGTCTCGCGAGAGAACGTGGAAAGATGCGGGGGAAAGAAGAAGAAGGAGAAGAAAGGGAAGGGTTAGGAGAAGAGGAAGAAGAAACGACTTCCAATACTACAGCAGTGCCGCTCAGCCCCTATTGCTTGTGGGGAGAAAGCACCGATGGACTAACCAGGTCAGGAAGTAACAGGCAAAGTGGCCAGCCCTGCTCTCCCTTTGGGGTGCTCTCTGATTCCAGTATTCCCACTACTAGGCTGGTCCAAATATGGATATAAACCCTGTCCCTTGTTCCCCTTAGCACAGCGGTACAAGACTGGGTTTATCCAAATGGTTGAAATCCAGTCAACACAAGGGACCCTGGGGGTCTTGAAGACTCAGTCCTGGTTCCCATTCTGTCTTAAAGGTATTTCCAGCACCAGAGAAAAGCAGAATGTCAGATCCTCTTACTTCTCACCATTTAGAGGCATTCTTTCCCAGTCTCTTTGCCATCTTCTGAGCCAAGGTCAAAGATTCTAGTTCTGATACGAACAGGAGCAACCTTTCTGGAGGACGATTTGACAGTACGGATCAAAAAATCTTTAAAATATGCATTGCTGTTGTTGCAACGTTACTAAATTGTGACACAGCTATTCCATTTATAGAAATATTCTAAGGAAATAAAAATAGAATATGGGCAAAGATTTAATCTACGGCACCCATCAGAGCACTATTTATATAATAATGAAAGATTGTACACAACCCATGGGCTCAAACCTGGGGATTAATTACATAAATTATGGCATATGCTTATAAGAGAATACTATGTAGCCACTGATAATATTTTATAATTGAATTTGTTGACAAATTATTCATGGTATATTCTGACATTATAAAGAAGCAGGCTGTAATATGAGAATTAGAGTATATCAATGTTTGTTTAAAAATCACATACACACATTCTCCTGCCTTTTGTCAGGCTTTCCATCCCAAGTAATTTATAGGATTCCCTGAGGAAAGCCTATGTTTTACAGATGTCCAGTCTCACTCCTCAGTTAAGTTTGGCCCTCAATGAAATCACAATATTAATGAGTCTATTTCTAAACTCTAAAATTAGAGGACTTTGGCCAAATGCCCCAGTATGGCCTTGGTACTTCCTAACTGGTCCCCTTTGGAAAACGACGGGGTGGAATGATGTTTCCCCCTTCTCTGTGGTTGCTGTTTCAGGCCCCTAGTCTCCTATGGATAGCTCTTAGACAGAAGGAACAGAACCAAGTTCAGAAACAGGACTGTCTAGGGATGCCTGGGTGGCCCAGCTGGTTAAGTGTCTGACTCTTCAGCCCAGGTCTTGATCCCAGGGTTGTGAGTTCAAGCCCCACATTGGGCTCCATGCTGGGCATGGAACCTACTCTAAAAAAAGAAAGAATGAAATAGTACCATCTAAAACAGGGACTCTTGGGGTGCCTGGATGGTGCAGTGGGTTAAGCGTTTGACTCTTGGTTTTGGCTCGGGTCTTGAAATCAAGGCCAGGGTCAAGCTCCACACTCAATGAGGAGTCTGGTCCAGATTCGCTCTCTCCCTCTCCCTCTGCCACTTCTCCGGCTTGCTTGCTCTTTCTCTCTCTCAAATAAATAAATAAATAAATCTCAAGTAAAATAAAACAGGAAGATTTTTTTAAAAGATTTTATTTATTTATTTGACAGAGAGAGAGAGCACAAGCAGGGGGAGAGGCAGAGGGAGAGGGAGAAAGAGGCTTCCGGCTGAGCAGAGAGCCCAACATGGTGCTCAGTCCCAGGACCCTGAGATCATGACCTGAGCCAAAGGCAGACGCTTAACGACTGAGCCACCCAGTTGCCCCTAAAACAGGAACTCTTGTCCCAGCATCCACGGGCAGAATCCAGAGTCCCTAACCTTGGTTGGGAGAACTTATATCTTTATGTTCACTGACTTGTAACTGAAATTCTCCATGTCCTTCAGGTGTACGTATAGGCAGCAAAGCATAGTGGTATTAGAGCGGTTTTCCCGTGTCTTTACTGCCTATAAAAATCGTAGATGTTTCTATTATACTACAGTTGCAGATTTCTTACACTATCCTTTATGTTCATCACTACTTTGAAATTATGGTGGTACTGAACCCACCTGTACATGTTCCTATTTAATGCTTTGATAAAGAAGCAGATATATTACTATATCACCATTTTATAATAACTGGTTTTTTCATATTAGTCGTTCCCTTTTTATATTATTGTTTAATATTTAGTATTTAGTATTATTCTGACAGGGAAGCCATGGATTTTCCAGATTGCCAAGGGATCCAGGGCAGAAAGACTTGTAAGAATCCCTGACCTCAGGTGCGCCTGGCTGGATCAGTCAGCGGAGCATGCGACTCTTGATCTTGGGGTTGTATGTTCAAGTCCCGCTTTGGGCGTAGAGATTGCTTAAAAATAATAAAAAAAAATCTTAAAAAAAAAAGAATCCCTGGCTTCTAAATATATTTTTGGTGTTGGCGGTGGTGTTGGGTGGTCTTTGATTCTGCAGGAGCTTAATAATCCTGTTAATACTACCAACTTAAATGACCAAGCGAGACACTTGACATCCCATTTTGAAGCCTTGATCCCCAAGAAAAGATATGTCCCTTTTATCTGCAGGACTAAAAGAGTCAAACCCAAGCTTCATGCCCACCCCAACAAAGTCAGAGGAAACGCTAAAAAGACAGCAGCTTAATAAAGACTTTCTTTTGTTTTAATGGGAGACACTAGATCACAGTTAAGGGCAGATGAAAAGATCCAACTGAGAGGGGGAGGTTCAAAGTACAGGAGAGGAAGATTCGTGATGCAGAGGGTGAATTCCAAGGCAGCCACAGGGGATGCGCACAAGGCTGGGCGGGGGGGTGGGGGGGGGGGGGGGGTGGGGGGGTGGGGGGGTGGCTCAGAAGGAGGAGCCCAGCTAGTCTAGCAGATGGAAGGATGGAGCAGATGCCAGTAGGTTCCACATTTGGTGTTGGGAAGATGAGGGATTCCAATCTGATGGTGTCTGTTTTCTCTGAGAAGTAGGAATCGAGATCATCTACGAAGTCTGGGAATGGGGGAGATAGCATAAAATAATAAGTAATATGCAAATATCACTTAGCAGTTGACAAAGAGTGTTCAGGAGGGAAATCACGGTCTTTAGTGTTGCACTTGAGAAATCTGGGCTGAGAGGCCCATTAACCACCTTTTCCCCAAAATTACCCAGCCAGAAGGAGAAGGAGCTGGGGCATAAACTCAGCCCCTCACCTAGAAAATTCATCCTGGATGCTGTAGGAAAAAGCTATACTG